CGTTTGGAGTTCATTTTGGAAGAAGAACATTTACAATCTTGAACTTGTACAACACAGGGCTGCTAGAATCTTCAAGGGTGAAAATCCTATAAAGAAAGATTAAAGATACTTAAATTGCCAACCTTGCATGATAGAAGAAGAAGAGGTGATCTGATTCAAAAGTATAAGATCTCAAAATTAAAGATATTGTTAATTTTCACCAACCTTCATTAAATTTTGAGCTGCAACGATCGAGTAGAAGATCAATTGTAGAATACGCAGACAATTTACCAATTCGAGAATTTGTCACCATTTCTTCACAAACAGAGTTACAAACAATTGGAATTCTCTTTCTCAATGGATAATAGATAAAGATAACTTAAACCTTTTTGAAAAACAGCATTGAACTAACCTTTTTTTACTCATATAACAACTTATTTTGGCGCTACCACTGCACCACGGTTGCTCTAGGGTCAGGGTTAGATTTTATTGAAAATTTTTTATTGAAATAGGCATGGGTGCTCTGAGGCTAACTGATCGCAAAACTTAGTATTATATAGGAGAGTGACGTATATAATTAAAAAAACTTTAATTTGCGTAAAATATAATTAAAAAAACTTTAATTTGTATAAAATATAATTAAAAAAACTTTAATTTTATAAGATTAATTTTATTAACAACTTGCAATAAAAAACTTGAAATAAAGATTTAATGATCCTTAATGTATTCAATAACAAAATATAACTTGCTTGCGGTTAAAAGACTTCTTTATATTGTCTCCAACCATCCCTTCTTTATGCCAAAGATTGAAATAAACCAGAAAAACAAACATGAACAAACAAACTTGTACTCGTAAAATGATTTGTAATAAAAGTTGATTTTTTATGAATTACTACTAAAACCTTTTAAATCAATTTTTCGTGGTCTTCTTCTTGAAACAATTTTTTAAAATTAATAAACTAGTAAGATAAGAATCTAGAGCTTGGTAGAGAGTTAAAAAAACTTAATAAATAATTTCTTCTCTTTTAAAAATTCCGTAATTTCAACCTTTTAATGTTACATTAAAACACTGTTTTATGTGATGCTAGTTTTTTAAAATACTTTTGCGCAATCTTTGTTTTTTCTTTTATTGGATTTTTTTATTGCTTGTTCTAATGGTTTATTCGTATTAATTAACAAAATCATCTGCGAGATTGTGAAAAACAAGGAGTTTGAGCTTTTAATGTAAGTTTTGATAATACAGAGTAAATTTGATTTATGTTTATTAGTAATTTCGAATGTTATTTATATTCTTAATAACAAGTTTTGTTGGCAATGTAACTATTCGTATATGGAAGAAGAAATACCTCATCCATCAAACTTTAAATATACATAAAATCAATTATAATATTTAAATTCAAATACAGAAGATGGTACTGTAGTTTGTAAAGCTAGAAAGTCTAAAAAATTAAATCCTAAAATTTCTTCCTGTGGAGTCTTGATATATATATATATATATATATATATATATATATATATATATATATATATATATATATATATATATATATATATATATATATATATATATATATATATATATATATATATATATATATACATATATATATATATATATATATATATATATATATATATATATATATATATATATATATATATATATATATATATATATATATATATATATATATATATATATATATATATATATATATATATATATATATATATATATATATATATACATATATATATATTTATATATTTCGCTGATCTATTGTGATCAGCGTCATCAGGTATAATAAACAAAATAGTTACAAAATTGTTATAGTAAAAACAAACCGTTAAAAAGAAAACATTAAAAAGCCATAATAGAAAGCCATACAGAAAAAAACTTTTCAAACAACTGACGTCAGCAGATTTTATTAAAAAATGGCCCCCATATTTTGGTTGTTACGTTATCACCGTCTTCCCGATTGAGAATCACGTCACCATTTCTCAACTCCTGTTGAACCCTAGCCTTGCTTATTTCGAGTGACTCTCTGATTTTCCGAGTTTGATATTCTGGGGCTACAGATAATGTTTTGGGGTGCAACTAATCAAACTTACCATGGCATGTTTTAGAATGCTCAGTTGCACCCGAACTGGACCATTTTCCTTTTAAGCTGTTTTTTTGGTGTTCAATACATCTCGATATCACCTTTTTAGTTTCGCCAATGTATATCAAACCGCATGAACATTTTAGCTGGTATACGCCAGGGTCTGTGTTTAGTGGTAGTTTAGTTTTATTGTTGCAGAAAATATTTTTTAAAATGGGAGTTGATGTGAAAATAACCTTTATGTTTTGCTTTCGAAATTCTTTACGAAGTTTTGGACCAGCAATTGTTATCCAAGGTAGTTTTATAAAGGGTTGGGTATCTATTTGTTGAAATGTGGTGTTTTTTGAGTAGTTTGTACGCAGCCGTATTTATTAAATTCTAACCATATATGTATATATATATATATATATATATATATATATATATATATATATATATATATATATATATATATATATATATATATATATATATATATATATATATATACATATATATATATATATGTATATACATACATACATAAGAGCTTAGGAACAGGAACAAAGTATTCAAGATTCTTCCTGTTTGCATCAAAGTCTTAGATTTATAAAATATCTTAAGTGTGACATCTTCAACTTCTTGCCATTTAGGGGAAAGTTGCTGTAGTGTTTATCCAATGAGCTAGAAGTTCTCTTATTGCCAGGCTACAAAATGCAGGATCTACCACAATATAAACAACTTTACTTCCCAGCTTATTTACTTATTCAGAACACTGAGCTTGGACATTTAAGTTCAAATGTAACAGAATACTTGTTATTTCAGAAGCTCAATAACCTTCCAAAAAGTACCGTTACCTTTAATCTATCAGTTCTATCTCATCACATTTAAATGTACAGTTAAGTATGACATATTAAAAAAAAAAAAATTAAGTATAACTTGTATAATACATGTTTATACATATACTTAAATGTCTCAATCTATATCATGCTTATATTCTAAAGTATATGCATATGAGTAAGCATTTGTATTTACATACATTTAAATCTACATTTAGGTATATGCATGGATTGAGAAAACTGTAGGTTTTTTAATAATACATACATGTTATTATGAAACCTAAAGTTTTCTTTTCTATTATTTTCATATTTCACTTAATTATTTTCATATTTCAGTGTGTATCTCTCAATAAGACAAAAGTATTTATTAGAAAGTAATAATAAAAAAACAACTACAAAACATTTTATTTTGGATATTTTCTCTATCCAGTTCCCAAAGAACCACTCTATCTTGGTCAATTTATTATATAATAATATCAGGGATGCGGAGTCACAAAAAGATTACTTTAACCTAGTTTTTAGTATCCAGTAGCTCTAAAAATATAAATAAGTTTATAGACTACTAATAGATAAAAAATTTAAACTTTTAGGTTAGAGGAAAAATTATTTTTTGAACCCGAAGTCCTTAGATGTAATGGCGGCAAAGACTCCAGGCTTTAAAACATTAAGTTTCAAGTCATTAAATCTCATGATTTTTTTCTTATAGCAGACCATAAGTCAACAAACATGTTTAGAGCTTGGAAAAAGTAGAGATACAAAGCCGGAGTCCTTTGGGGACTCCGCATCCTTGAATAATATAATCTTAGGATATTTGCTTACCTCTTAACTTTACTGGTTCCAGACAAAAAATTTAATCTGTTTCTATTTCAGTAGTTTTCATCTTTGTCTATAGGATAACTGGTTACATCTAAACTTTACTTGTTCCAGACAAAAGTTTTAAACTTTGTTTAAATTGCAGGAGCAATCTTTTGAGTTTTAGATGACTTTACTAAACTGTGAGACAAACAGCCCACTATTATTTTCGCGGAACTTGTCGCAAATTTTTAAACATTTAGAATACTTTTATTACTTTGCCCTCCCCCCCCCCCAAAGTTCTAAATTTCGTAAATGATGTTTACTGATGTCATAGATGAGTATTTGACTTAATGAAAATCCCAGAAAATTATTTTATTAGAAATTGGTCGTATTAACTAAAAACAAAAACTTTTAAAACGGAATTAAGATTATTTAACTTTTTACAAAAAGGAATTTCTAATATTCAAAAAAGTTAATTTGAATAAATTTAAAAGCAAAAAAAAAAAAAAAAAAGTTACGAAAATTGATCTCGTGAAAACCATAGAAAATATATTTGTTTAAATGTCGTTTTTAAAATCTTATGTAAAAATATAATTATTTTAAACGAATTAATAACAAAAAACATCCGGAAATTTCTGGACAATTAAAAGATTTTCAAGTGAATTTCCGGAAAAAGTTCAATTAAAGCCTATGTAATGTTTATCAAACTACTGTAAAAGAAAAATCAGATCTGGGGAAAAACTTGGCGTACTCTGATCCACAGGGATAATTGGGCTCCGAGTCTACTTAGGGCTTGAATATATGCAACATGGGATATTAAAAAAAAATTACGCAGTACATGCGAACTTGATATAGAGTAGAAAAAAAAAAAAAAAAAAAAAGCGGATGAATTAAAACAAATGCACACAAATTAAACGATCGTATGCGCACTAATTAATTTTCGAAACGGACTATTTCTAAAATAACCATATTGTTTTTATATATATGAATTTAGTAAAAAGTGAACCAAAACGTTTCAATGTATTAAAAAGAAATCATTTGGTATTTATTTTTATTTATAAAATAATGGATACCAGTGGCAAAATACCTAAATATGAAAACAATACACCGGGGATTATGAAAATATTGAAATTGTAAGATTAAAATGTCATGTAAAATACGAACATCTCGTAAATTACAAAAACCATATTTTCTAAACTATCATAAAAAACTAAACTTTAGTAATTCAGAACAATTTTAAAAACTTTTGAAGGCCACCTTTGATGAACAGTTCGAGGGGCAATACAAAAATTAAAAAAAAAAAAAATTATTTCTAGCCTTTGATAATCAAAGATTAAACTATCAAAGGAATGTGTTGGCCGAGGATTATTTACAACCAGTATCAATATTAACGGTAAATACTAACAACAAACATTTTAAATTCTTTACAGTTTGTTATCTAATTAGTCTTTTGATTGCGTATGCGTTTCCTTTGCAGAAAATATCAATTAGCAATTTTTGTATCTTGAATGAAATAGTTGTAAAACCATGTTTTAAATGCATGTAGGCATAGTATGTTCAAATATCTCATTTTACAAAGTTATTGGTATAAAACGAACTTTATTAGGTTGTCAATTATAAATATTTTAAAAATGCATTAGATCCAAAATGTTTTGAGTTTGGTTTAATTCGGCGCTTAAAAGATAAAAATATCTGAAAGGAACAATTAGCGAGCTTTACAGAAGAATATCTTGGACTACTAAGATGGCTTGAAATTAGGTGTTACGAAATCCATAACTAAGCTTCCGCGCAGGCTAAAAATGAACATTATTGTTGCTAAGAAGCGGCCTTGATGGTGGTGGAGGAATCCACTGGCCACCACCAGGAGATTGGACATTAAAAGGTGGTCCAACTAACGGTGGCTGTTGTTGCGGATGACTCATTGGTGGCATTTGCTGCATAAAGCCAGGCGGAGGTCCTCCTCGAGGTGGCATTGGAGGCATACCAGGTGGTCCAGGAGGCATACCCGGTGGCATCATATTAGATGGTGGAGGCATACCTAAAAAGAGTAATTATTAAATTAAACTGTCTGGTAATTACGAGAGAAAAAAAAAAGAAGAGTATATCAGAAGTCTGGTAGTAGGTGTGTGTGTCGATTAAAAAACAAGTTTTTTTTTAATAACTTAAGTTGAAAATATATATTAAGGTAATATTTATAAAAAGACTTGTTTTTATTTTATGTAACTAGGGTCTCAAAAACCAAAACATTAGTCCAAAAGATTTTTTTATAACTAATTCTTTATCACCCTAGTAAATAATAGAGATATATAAAAGTTTTTGTCTACATTACATTTTTTCCAGCAACACTTGCTGTGTTAAATGGCAAAAATTTCATGTAGTTTATGTTTTTATTATATTTTATTAACATTAAATAGAAAATATTTTTCTGATTTCAATATTGCTTATGGGTGGCACGCATGGGTCAAAATTTGATAAAAAACTTAAGTGCTCCACCGTCAAACTTTTCTTTAAGATAAATAATGAAAAAATCTTATATATAAAACAAGCGTTTGCGCACCTTAAAAGCTTCTACTCTAAACTGCAAAAAATTCTGATGTAATTTGAACCATCCTAACCAGCATAGATGACATTCTAGCATTGATGTCACAACCAGCATTGATATTTTGAATACTTATTTAGCAAATCATGTAAAGGAGAGATATCTTCAATAAATTTTATTACAGACAGCTATTAATATTTTCTTCTATTTGGTGGAATAGATTGTTGACCAATTTATCAAAAGTAGCATCAAAAAGTCTTCAGCTTATATACGCTTAAAATTTTTAGATATAGACTCCAGCTATATATGCTGCTTGCAAAAATTGAACGAAAAAATAGATTGCCAAATTAAAGGCAGAAAAATTAATTTTTGGATTGCAAAATTCAAGACTTGAAGCAACTAAAGAATCAATAAATTTTTAAGATGAATTTTGACTAATCAATAAATACTTCAGGTGTTAAGTCAATTAACTATTATTAGAATTTTTTAAGACACTTTTGTAAATAAGCTATAATTAAAAAGCATAAAAAAAATTTAATATGACTTTTAACTATACCTAATATTATTAATATCAAATTATAAATTCAAAATTGAAATAAATTTGAATTTTGATAAGAAAAAACAATTCAAATTCAAAAAAAAAAATCTGTACCTTATCTCGCTTATCTCTCTGTTCACACTTTAACATAAATTAGCATAATTAACATAAATAAATTAGTTTTAATATACTCTAATAAAGAATTAAAAAAATTATTCAAACAAATAACAAAAAAAGTGAAAAATGAGAAACACTTTAAGTATCCAGAAAAGCATAAATAAACTTGCATAAAAACGAAGTAAACACCTCCCTTAAAACATAAAAGAATTTTTTTGAATGAAAAAACATGTTTTTTGCAAATTCAAAAAATGTTTTGAAGTACACTTCAAAACATTTTTTCCAACATTTTATGTTAAAAACATTTATCCAAGGCTCTCGTTACTTATTTCATCACGTTTTAGTGCAAATAAAAAATCAAATTTACTTTTTATTAGTTAATTCATATTTAAATGCAAAAAAAAAGTTTTTAATTTTTTAAAAACCAAATTTTTAAAAAGCATTTATTTAAGATTAGACATTATTTTTGTTTGCAAAATTTGCATATTGTAAAAATATAATTTTATATATTAATGGGCTATTCCGCGCGAGCGATGGTCGTAACATTTGATACTCTTTAAGCTAATAAAACCAAAAATGGAGATGACTTGAAGTTTTCCAGAAATGTTAAATACTATCACACAATTAGATATAAGAGTATGATAAAATTAAAGCATTGAAGTCTTCAAAAATCAACTCTAGTAGTGTGACGGTCGTAACGTTTACTGTTTACCACTTCTGAACAAAACAACATTGTCAGGTATAATACAGCGAACGGCAAGTTTAAAAAAAAAATCATTTGCTGTATTTGCTGTATGTATTTAGCACTTATTGATATTATGAGTTTCATAATTTTTACTTAAAGCTTCGTAAAGGTAGTAATTGTATCGGTCTTAGGGAAAAACCCAATATTAAAAACGACAAATAATAAACGACAAAATAAATAACATAAAAAAAGATGAATGATTATAAAAACCTTTTAAATTATGCAAAAAAAATACATCTTTTAACATTATCAAAATTCTCAATTTTGTTAATGTTAAACAAACAGTTTTTGATACTGGGTTTATTTTATACAAAATAAATAACATAAAAAAAGATGAATGATTATAAAAACCTTTTAAATTATGTTAAAAAAATACATCTTTTAACATTATCAAAATTCTCAATTTTGTTAATGTTAAACAAACAGTTTTTGATACTGGGTTTATTTTATATGGAATATAAAATATATGAAAAACCACAGGTTGGCTACTATATTTATTTAAACTTTATTAATAAAACTTTAACGGTTAATGCCCTTAATGCTCCCTTATTTTTAATTATTTTACTCTTAATAATGTCAATGAATGTTCCTAACAGGTTAAAAAAAAGTTATTCTTTTAGAAAATTATAAAAACCTTTTAAATTATGTTAAAAAAATACATCTTTTAACATTATCAAAATTCTCAACTTTGTTAATGTTAAACAAACAGCTTTTGATACTGGGTATATTTTATATGGAATAGGCAACCACAGGTTGGCTACTATATTTATTTAAACTTTATTAATAAAACTTCAACGGTTAATGCCCTTAATGCTCCCTTATTTTTAATTATTTTACTCTTAATAATGTCAATGAATGTTCCTAACAGATTAAAAAAAAGTTATTCTTTTAGAAAAGTAAAAATATTAATTTTAAGGTGGTTTTACAAAAAGATTATAAAATATTAGACAATTTTGAAACCAAAAACTTTTTATTTTTTACTTGCCAGAAATGCATTTTAAATTGTATGTTAATATTTTTAACAGCTTTTTTTGCTTCTTTTAGACCTTAGATTAATATTATCTGTGTTGATTAGCATAACATAAATTTTGCATTCATTTGATGCTAAGAGGAAGCACTGAAGACAAGATTTTATGCTGTTCCAAACATATTGCTACAATGATTTTCTTACTGCATTAACCGAACCTTTATTGTAAGAGGTAACAAGCTCCTTTATTTGAGAGAGATAAAAAAAACAACTACTTTATACTTTGAAAATGATTATTCACAAAGCAATATTGCATGAATTTGGCTATGGATCTGTTTTTGAATTAAGTGCAAGGAATATCACTCCATAATACAACTTTTTTATATAATTAATGCAATAATAAATAAAGGTTATTTCACTTAAGTAAGTAGTAGTGGTGCATTTTGTTTTATCATTATCATTGGATATTAACAAAACAAACGGTATCATTGGATATTAAAACAAACGGTATCATTGGATATTAACAAAACAAACGGTAGATTACAATTAACACAGATGAAACTAAAAAATTTAAAAAAATTTAGCCGAAGAGTAGCAGCAAATGTACCATTTATTCTTGTCTTAATAAGAAGCCAACACTTTATTGAAGGGGGCATTTTTATCTTGAAAAGGATCTCATTTCTGCTACAACATGGGACTCCCAGTGGCAGGTGAACATTAATTCAGATAAAACTCAATTTTTTTCAGCTAATTAATATCACAATAATCTAAACCTTCCAACATTTATGAACGGTAATGTACCGATCTTTTCTAGTAACAATTTATTTGCAAAAGTAGCATCTCTTTGTCTTTCTTGCCAGTTTCTTACTCAGGATTCTATTTATTGTCTCCATAAATCTTGAGTCCGTCCTTATATGGAATACTGTTGCTATATCTGGGGCGAATCTTCCAAGAATGCCCTTTTTCTTTTAGACAAGGTGCAAAAATGCTTTTTTAACTTGACATTTCTAAAGCTTTGGATAAAATTTGGCATGCTGGTCTTCTCCATAAGCTTTCTTCTTACGGTGTATCTGGTAACATCTTTAAGATTATCGAATCCTTCCTTTCCAATTGTAGTATAAAAGTTGTCCTTGATGGACAGCACTCTTCTTATTCTGTAACCTCAGGGGCTCCTCAAGGTCCTTGGCCCTATACTCTTTTTAATTTACATTAACAATCTTCCAGATATTCTCACATCTAATGACAGTACCATTTATTCTTGTCATGATAAGAAGCAAACACTCTCTGATTGCTTAGAGGGGGCATTTGAGCTTGAAAATGATGTCACTTCTGCTACAGCTTGGGCTCACAGTGTGAACTTTAATTAAGATAAAAATCAATTTTTATCAGCCAATAGCTATCGCAATAATTATGATCTTCCAATATATGTGAATGGTAATGTACTCAATGAGTCATCTACCCTTAATCTTCTAGGATTAACTCTTACTTTGAATCTTACAATCTTTCTTTGAAGCCATATATCAAATCCGTTGCAAAAGTAGCATCTGCTAAGGTTGCATCTTTTTATCGAGCTCGACACTTTCTTACTCCAGATTCTATTCTCTATCTCTATAAATCTCAAATCTGACCTTGTATAGAATACTGTTGCCTTATCTGGGGCGGAGCTTCTAATGAACCCTTTCTCTTTTAGACAAGATGTAAAAATGAATTGTAAACATAGTTGGACCGGCTCTTGCAGCCAACCTCCAACCATTATAAAATGATTGCAATGTTGCTTTTCTTGGGCACTGCTCGTGCCTAGCTAGCGCCTCTTGTATCATGTACTAAAATTCATTCTTGTGTTACTTGTCATTCATTTAATTCTCATCCTTTTACTGCGACTGTTCCTAAATGTTCCAAAAATTTTTATTCGTCTAGTTTTTTTCCTTAAGCATCAATTTTTGGAATTCACTTACTTCATCATGTTTTCCTTATTCATAAAATTTGCAATATTTTTAGTCGTCTGTTAATTGTTATCCAGCTCTATAAATTTCATCTTTTATTTTCTAGTAATTTCCAATTCTAATAGTGGTTGCTTGCAACCTCATTGGAAGCAAAGATAGTAGGAAAAAAAAAAAAATAAAAAAAAAAAATAAAAAAATTAAAGTGCAAGGAATAAATCTGGAGCAGCTGTCAAATAATTTAGTATGAAAGAAGCAAATAGAAAAAACAAATTAATGGCTAACAATACCAGTCAATTTTTATTAAAAAATCAAAATTGTGATAGATAAGAAATTAAATTTAAATTAACTTATTGAGTAAAACTAGAAGAAATGTATTATTTTCAGTTTAAATTTGACATTTCTTTCAGTTCAAATTTGCAATTAGTCATATTTTTTATACTGAGGCAATCAATTATAAAAGAAAAATAAATAAAGAAAAAATAAATATTAAATAAACATCAATTTGTTTTTTCCTTCTTTTTCTCTCATAATCAAATGCACAAGTATAAAATATATGACAAATGACTATTTTTTTTTTATACTTATGCAAAAAACACATGGTCACACACACACCATTAATAGGAAAGCAACATTTGCACAATTACTTTAAATTTCTGTATTTATATTGCTTGATAAATAAACTTACCAGGCGGCATTGCACCCATAAATGAATTATTCACCATTCTAGGATCACCAGTGATAGATGGTGGCATGGAAATCTGGGAATGCATCATTTGTGGTGTTACAGTGAGAGGCATAGACTCAATAGGTTGATAGGCAGGTAATTGGGATTTTATTTCTTCCTAAAAAATAAATGAATCAAAAATGAAAATAATACAAAAAAAATTAAGATAAGCAAAAAAATCAGATAACATACAAGTGAACTGTCTTCATCAGGATGGATAATTCTGCTATTAGCAGATACCAATGGTATTGTGTTTGCAGGTGGTTTAATATATCGATAAGAACTGTGCGAAGAACTAACTGAAGAAACTCCTAAAAGTAAGCAGCATAAAAGTAAAAATCTAAAAAACTAAATGGCTACACCTAAAATAATTTAGTATTTTATTTTTCTTATAAATAATCTTAAAAGAATTCATAAATAATATCACAAATTGTTAATAAAATTACCACTTATACACAGGCTTTTTTATTATTATTTTTGTTAATTTTTTTATTTTAAAGCATGCAATTTTATTCTACTATATGCATATAAGATTTTTTTTCATACAAAAGTTTCAAAGGAAAAAAAAAAACGAAATTTTTTCCCCAAGTCAAAATTAAAAGCCTGTATACATTTTTATAATCTACATAACTAAATATAAATAATATATAATGTAGTTTATATATGTGGTACATGTTTATATGTATATAATTATATAATTTAATTATAAATTTATAATTAAAGCAATGAAGTTTTTCTTAAAGAAACATAATAAAATTACTAAAGAATGACAAATTTAAATTAAAAAAAAAAAAATTATTTAAAACAAGAAATTTAAAAATGAAAAACACTAATGTAGATAAAACACATAAAAATATAACAAAATACAGTTACAACTTCAAAAATTAATCATAAATATAAAATCATAAGTCAAAAACAAAAAAATTAACAATTTTTATACAACATATAACATAGATTTTAAATTCCTAATAAGGTGTGACATCAATAACACCAATTAACTAAAATGTTTAAAAGATGTTCATAGAGAATTTTGACTCACTGTTTAAGCAACTGCTGTGCTGGCCCGGCTAAGCCAGTTTGAAATATCTGGAAAGAATGATTAAAAAAAAAGTAAAACTACTGGAAAAAATTTAAAACATCCAGTTTGGGAGCACTAATTAAATTAGACCCCTATAATCTTGATATAAAATCACTCACGTTTCCTTGAGAATTTTATATACCACAGGATAATATCATTTTAGTTCAATTACATCATCAAAATCATCTAAGGAAATTTATTTTATATTATTTTTTACAGACAATAGAAATTATATTGAAGGCAGAAAATCTTCTTTATTATAGCTAATAAAAAGTAAAACACGGAAAAGGAAACAACCACGCAAAATTTTGTTACATATTGCTAATGGAAAAATTTATTTTTTGCTCAGGATTTTTTTAAATAGGCTTAGCTAATTAATAGATATAAAAATATTAATAACATTTATCAACAGATAATTTAATGAGAAAAATAGAAACCACTTACCCTGAGGTGAATTTAGCGGTTTAAAGTCTGCTCCAACTGGTCCAGATGATTTATTCTCCATCTATGCATTAAAATATAATACCATAGACCGTCATAAACATCAAGTTTATATAATAAATTTGTATATAACAATACTATTGAACTTATTCAACATAATAACTTCAAACATTTTTTAATATTAACTTTACTTCACCATGATTTCAAGAGAAGCTACTACAGTCAAAGAGGTTTTTCTTTTAAACTTTATTTGTAACTTTTTCAAATATAAACTCCAAAACATAAACCTTAAATGAGGAGAAACAAAGTGAGTGTGCTGTTTACAAAGGCGTAGGATAAGTCTGATTGTGAGCCAAAAAGTTTTACCACTAGTCAACCACTGATTCATTTAATTTTAAATAATTTATTTTTTAATTTAATTTAATTTAAAACTTTAATTTTTATTATAACTTATTAAAACAAGAAAAATTGTAATAATATAAATTAAAAATTAATAATATAAATTATAATTAAACAGGAGCCCAATAAAAATAAACAAATTGTAATATCAATAATTATATTAACAAACCTTTTTTTAATGAGAACCATTTATAAAACTTATGATCTTTAAAACATTAAATTATACAACTTACCCATTTTTTTTTTTTTGAATTTTGAAAGTGTAAAAATCAATTGAAAAAAAAAATATTTAACCACTTAAATATGAAAGGTTTTAATAAGCCTAAATATCTTTTAAAGTTCATACAAAGAAATATGTGCATTTAAATTGCTGAAAACTTTGATCAAACACTTAAATCAAAGAAAACTTATAAACAAGAATAAAAAATCTCAAAAAGCAAAGTGATTAAAATTAAAAGTTAGAGGTACCATAAGAGACGAACCCAGACCTGTTTTGGTGCCGCTAAATCGATTTGAGTGCCCAAAGAAAAGCGTTTAAAAGTGTTTATTATTTGCTATTTTTCTTTTGCTTTTTAATTAGAAGTTTAGATTAAATTTGCAGTAGTAAATAACTTTTTATTTTAGCAAGCTCATTTTATCTTCAGGACAGTAAAATGAATTAAAAATGTGCAGTACCTTGTTTTTACTTTTAAAACTGTTGTTAAATAAATAAAGATTTATTAGAACAAGCTAAAAAATATTATATTTTCTAAAGGACATACAGGTCCAATAAAAGGACACTGACAATATGCCCCTAAATAAGAAAACAAAGTACATATGGAACAAATATAGTTTATAATAGAAATATTCAAGGTTTCATTCATTCATTTAATTTGTAGACACAGTGTTTATTGAAATTGCACAATTTTATTTTATTTTGAAATATATTATCATATGTTATCAGGATTTACAGTTTCTGATGTCAGACTATTTCAGATATTTACAACTCGTTAAGAAAAAAAAAAATTGCAAATGTCAAGTTGACATTGTTGCTTGCAAACCTTATTGTTAGATTACTTAGCAGAATGTTAAATTAAAAAAAATTAAAACTTATGGCGAATCTTTATTCAAAGATAATAGAATGTATAAAAAATTTGTTTTTTCAAAAGATAAAAGAATTTAAAAATATACATGATAAATATTTTACAAATAAGTCATTCAGATTAATTTAACTTTTACTTTGGAAAAAGTAAAAGGGGACTGGTTTTAACAATAAACAAAAGAAAAAATATCTGTCTTAATAACGATGTAGTAATTGCGCAAATATAATTTTTGAATAAATAAACTTTTGATCTTTTGTAGATCTCTATCTGGGAAACCAAAAACAAAATTTTTTTTTTTTTTTTTAGAAAGCTAATTTTTCTTCATATTCTTTTTGACTTAAATAAATAAATAATAGAAAACAGTATAAAGTAAAAAAAAAAAAAAAAAAAAAAAAAAAGAGGAAGGGGGAAGGCAAACATAATGAAAATCTCATCTCCCATATTGCCAAAAAAAAAAAAAGAAGGTATCCCTAAATGGACTCTGGTTTCTTCACTGCCATAATAATGTATTTTAATACACTTTGTTTTGTTAGAAAAACTTTTTAAAACTCTTTCCAAATGGAAGCCAGAATAGAAGGGTTAAACCCTAACTGACAGTATTTGAAAAAAAAAAAAAAAGTATTAAAAACCCAAAATTATGAAAATAAAAATATAAAAGGTTTTATTTTGAAACAAATAAAACTTAACAACAACAACAAAAAAACAACAACAACAACAATCAAAAAACCTCAGCAGCTGTTGCAGCAGCTGGAAATAACTGTCTTGGTGGTCCAGGAACTCCTGGAGGAGGTCCAGAAGTAGGTATAACACTTGCGCTAGTTGACATAGGTGGCATCCCAGCCATCATACCTGGCATTGGACGCATGCTAAAAAATAAAAATAAAATTTTTTTAAATAAAAGATTTTTAAAAGTTACAAACATAGTTTAAAATAATTTCAAATTTTTACACAATTTTTACTCAGATTAAAAAAAAAAAAAAAAATTTGCTTTAATTGGTTTATATTACATTAAGTTTAAGTATATGCTTATATTTATTTTTCAGAAAAAAGTTCCTTGAAAAGTAAAACAATTTATTTTTTTATTTAAATTCTTTATAATTTAATTTCTGGTTTGACATTTGCAATAACCAATGTTTGCAATAATGTTTGCAATCACTGGTTTAAGTTTTGCAATAGAATGTTTCTACTTTTAAAACTATTTTCAAAAAACAACAAAAAAAAAAAAAAAAATTACCATTAAAAATGTTTACAATTTAAATAAAAATTTCTTCCTTATTTGCACTATGTTCTAAACCTGACATTGTGTTACTGTAGCTAGATATACATTTAACTTTCAGAAATTTGCAATGCTACTGGGTATTACGGACGCCGCTGCAATTAAATTTATAATTATTGAACGTTAAAATTTTTCTTTTTTTTTAATTTCAAATTTAAATTGCAAAATATTTGAAGGAGAGAAATTTTAGAAGACTTTTTTAACAAAAGAATTCTTTTGTTCAAATAGATTTCTTTTTTAAAAAGTTCTTAAAATCAACTCAAGTACTTATAGATAATGTTTAATCTTAATATAGCTTTAAATAAAATTTAATATAAAAAAATGGGATTGCATTTTTATATTTTAATCAAACTTTCTTGTATTAATTCTTGTAATAATTTTTAGTTAGAAGCTTATACTTTGTGTTAACAACATTTAAGATATAAATAGAATCATTAGTATGGCTAACTTTTGCGAGTCTTTAAATATGTTAAGTAAATTAATATAGTTGATAAGTTAATATTTGAGTAACTGTAAGTTACGGGTTGTTTTGAAAGTAAATTTACAGTTATGCTTTATTTATATATATATATATATATATATATATATATATATATATATATATATATATATATATATATATATATATATATATATATACATATATATATACATACATACATATATTTATGAACCCTAATAAAAAAAACTTAGACAAAAACATTACTTTTAAGAATTGCCAAAAAAAAAATGCTTAATTAGAAAACAAAAAACAAAAAAAAAACAAATCCCGAAATTATCTTTTCAAGGAAAAACTAATCGCAAAGGTGTGAAAAGCAATTGTGATACACTTAATTCAAGACCTGGAGTGATAAAGTTTATTTTCAACACATTTTTAAAGACTAAATTCATTAAAACTTTTTTTTTCATATTTTCTAAATGAATTAACAAATAAATTATAACATATATCCTAACCACCACAAATGAAGATACCAACAAACAAATATACCACTCATAAAACAATATCATTTTTTTACTTTAATTGTCTCAAAACTAAAAAGCCTTTGTTTTCACAATTAAATTGTTAACCTGAAATATAGTCTTAAAAGTGATATCAAGTAAGTGGTCATCTATGTAATTATGAACTATCATCTAGAAAAGTGAAACTAAAAAAAATAAACTGCCTAAGTTGATTCTAAAACAAAGAAATGGTTAATATTATTAGCGAGATAGATTTAGATTTTTTCTAGAAAAAATCTAAAATCTACCTCGCTAATAGTACTTTTTGAAACTCTAGAAAAATAATAGAGAAAATAAGACCTGCTTCAAAAAATAATAAAAAACCTGTACTTGACTTTTACTAATTGTTGTAAAAAAAAAATCTTGTAAGTAACGGCTTTCAAAATCTAGAAAAATTCTGATCATAATAAACAACAATGATATTTTGTTATTAAGCAAACTCATAAAAATATTTTTTATTGTACTGATACAACAAAAAACTACTATTATATTTTCAAAAAAAAAAACTTTCTAGAAAACTTTTCCGAAAATGAAATAAATTGAAAAAAACAGTTGGTTTTTTTAAACAATGTGCTTGTATCCTTGTAAAATTTGACTCAATCTTCAAATTTTACAAGGATTTAAATGGCTATATTATATGTTTAAATCCATATAAAACTTGTATACATGAGGTTTAAACTTAATAATTCTGTAATACTTGTTTTGTATTCTTGTATAACAAAAAATCAAACAAACAAAAAAACAAAAAACAAATTAAAGAAATATTAATGTAGTTCAACAAATGTTGAAAATATGAGAAAGCATATCATAATAAGGATTTGGGATAATCCTACAATTGCGCATCTAAAATATGTATAAAAGTGTGCGTAAGGCAATAAAAATAAATAAAAATAAAAAAAAACTCACATATGCATCATTGGAGGGATTCCTATAAAAAAAAGCAATTACATGTAAACTTTTCAATATATTCATACATACATATACCTACCTACATAAATACACACACACACACACACACACACATATATATACATATATACACACACACATATATATATATATACATATATATATATATATATATAAACACTTACTAAAGCGTGTTTTGATAAGCATTTGCTCACTTTTTCTGCTTACCTTAAGCTATACCGTTTTTTTCGAAAAAGAAAAAATGAAGAATGATGAATAAAACGATTGCTTCGTCATCCCAAACCCTCAGTCAATGTAGCAGCACTCCACTGCGAGTCAGGCTATTTCAGTATGACATCAGATTACTTACCTTAGTACGCAATACTATTTGTATATATATATATATATATATATATATATATATATATATATATATATATATATATATATATATATATATATATAAATATAAATATAAAATACAGTTAATTCCCAGTAAGTCGAACATTGGTTAACTTTTATTATCTTGAACTGCTTCATTGAGTCCCTTGAAATCACCTAATCAATTACTACTAAAAATTTCCAGTTAAGTTTTTAAATGTCAAACTGTTAAAAGTTGAACTATTTTTTTGTCCCCTTCACCAAATTTCTACAGATAATTCAAACATTTTGTATGGAAAATAAAGATATTGACATAATCAAAATTTTTTTTAATATAAGTCACTTCATATAAAACATAAGTAACTGTAGCCTAATCATTTTATCTCTTTTTTTTTTCATTGCATTTAGGTCTGAATAAGATAGATCTTTATTAGATGTAAAACTATGCTATAATATCCAAGCCTTCCCAGGAAATGCGTATGGTTTTTTGTCTTGTATGTCATGCATAATATTTTATTTTAGACCAATTAGCCCCAGCCATTTGCAAGTTTTACTATATTAGCCGTTGCGGAAAAAACTAAATTTGAAAAACAAAAAAAGCAAAAACTAACAAAATAAGAATTTAAAATGAACTTAAATAGATAGCAACTTTTTAAAATTATATAATTATATTTAATTCAAAGTATATGCACATTTAGCTTACTTGGATAAGGCGTTTACTTCATACACGGAATGTCCCTGGTTCGAATCACACCATTATCCATTTTTTGAAATTTCAAAACAAAAATGGATAATGATGGATATAGGCCACAATTTACAGACTTCGTGTTGTATGTTTTTGAATGATACACATCTCTTCACATTTAGATTTCTTACAACATTTTAGCCTTTCAGTGTATTAAAAGTAAGGCACACATATACATAGTTTGAAAGTCTCAATTAGGCCATTCAGTCTACACATTTTTCATGTAGCCTTAATTGTTTCATATTATCTTTCTATTCCTGTACTTTTTTATCACTAATTTTTTAGTGCTTTGCAATTTTGGGTACCTATTGCTTTTTAACAGTTGGCTTTGTGTACTTAGTTCTACCCACCCCTCCATTTTGTACTAGTTATTGGTAAACAATTACTTATAATATTTATTATTGTTATGCAATTAATAATAATATTTGTTTACAAATATTTCACCAATAACATAGTAGGCTAAAAGGGAGTGGGCAGGTAGAAAAAGAAAAAATTTGGGAAGTAGTGGGATTTGAAACATGGACATTATGTATATGAAGTAAACCCCTCATCTAAATAAGCTAAATGTGCGTATACTTATAAACAAATAAACATAATTATATGATAAAAAAGTTATACTTAAAGTATATGCATGCATTACATAGATGTATTCATATAGCGACAATAAATATAGTCATCCCATGCCATATAAGTAAATATAGGCATTCATCCCATATATAAACAGGCGTAAGCATTTCAGGAGGCATCATACCATGATGAAATTATTAATTTAATTGTGATATATAATTTTTTTTTTCCTAATTTAAATTAACTTAAATTTTCTATTTTGTAAGTTTTGCTTTTGTTTTTGAAACTTTTTCCGCAATGCTTAATGTAATAAAAATTTTTTTCCGCAATGCTTAATGTAATAAAACTTCCAAATGACCATGACAAAGTTGTCTAAAATAAAATTTTCATGCAAGACAAAAAAACAGCACACTTCTTCTGCAAAGGCTTGATATCCATTGAAAGATTATAAAACCTTTAAAAAAATTATTATTTTATTGTTTGACAAATTACTGAATAAAAGACCGCTCAGACGCAATTTTTTTACCAAATAATAAGGAAGTCATTGCGTTGCTAAACTTTTTCAAATATTATCTTTGAATGTACTGGTAAATACAATCTGTAACTTCTTTTGTTGAAAAATTCATAGATCATCCAGACTATATTTTAAAAATCCAGAAATTTTTTGAGTAAAATATCCGGAAAAAATCCGGAATATATTTTCCTCTTAATTTTGCTTTTAGCTGAGTTGTTTCTAATTTTTTAGAAACTTTTCTTAGTTTTGTATGAGTGGTGAGTGAAAAAGCTTAAAAAACAAATATCTTACTAAAATGTATCCCTAAACTTAAGGGTTCCCACTGAAGCTAAAAATAAAGATTTTATGGAGATTTAAGGAGATATTTTCCTTATATTTAAGGAGATTTGGTTGCGAACAACTAATTTTTGAAAGAAAAAGTAAGGAGAATTAAGGAGAAAAGATTACATTAAAAATAGAATTTTATTTTTTTTCAATAAATTTTAAATATAAACTGAAAAATTATAATAAATTAATATATGACTTGATGTATATATAAATATAAATATACAATAAAAATATAGGTTTGCAAACTATCAAAGAATTATATATTTGCTTTTATATTAATAAGTATAATACATTTACGTTTTTTAAGAAGTGTGAACCCTGAACTTGTATGTTTGGAAAACATTTTGGGTATCCGGAAAAACTAAAAGTTGTGAAAAATATCTAAAATTTTGAAAATATCTGGAAAAAGATAATCCCTGCACATTAGAATAATGGTGTAAATTTAATGTATATACTTTAGGAAGAAAAAAAATTAAAAAAAATAAAAAAAAAATCAAAATTTAGCTTAATGGGAATTCGCTTTAGTCGAACATTTGTTAAATCAAACCATTTTCTTTGGTCCCTTGGAGGTTTGAATTATCCGGAATTAACTGTAGTAGTAAAATTATGTAAATAATATTTTAGCAAAATTTTAAACGCTTCATAAAAAACTTACGTTACTATTATCAAAAAATAAAAATAATATGAAATAAAGGATATTTGGATCATATTTGTTAATAAATTTGAACAAACCATGCATAGGCATCCCATGCATATGAATAGGTGGAAGATGCATTCCAGGAGGCATCATACCAGGATGAAATGGCATAGGTGGCATACCAGGAAACATGGGCATCATTGGAAAACCTAATCTTGGTTTTTTATCATCATCTTCATCGTCATCATCATCACTGTCATCACTATCTAAATTATTTGAAATAAAAATATTCAATAATTAATAAAAAATAAATCAAAAACCAATCGTGAAATAAATTTTGTTACCAGTTCTTATAAATACAGATGTCAACTATAAATAACCAAATTAACAATTCAGTTAATTTCATTATTTGAAGCAAAACTTGCTACATTAAAAAACAGTGATGTTGGAATAACTAAAGAGTTTGTAACTAAATAGTTTTTTCTTCAGAGCCTAAGAGATCCATGCCCATAATAACAAGAAAAAAATTACAAATACTGTAAGTCACATCTTAAAATTCTATTCATATTACTTTTTACGCACACAAAATTTTCAAATTGGTACAAACTTGTTTTTAACCCTTTGACTGCGGCAAGTCACAGTCAACAGGTTAAAAACAAGTTAGTTTTTTTCAATTTTTTATTTTTTAAGTTGAATTTTTTAAAACATTTTTAAATTTTATTAAGCAGCCAAAGAGTTAATATGCAACTTTACAGAATGTAATATTTATTAATCTAAAAAACAATGTTTTTAAATAAAAGCCATTTAAATTAATTAAACGCATATGCGTATTGTTATTAAAAAAAACAAAAACAAAACAAAAACAAACAAAAAAACAACATCTTTTTACTCAATATTTTTTTTAATTTAACAATAATATTAAAAACTTAAGATTATAAACATTGCAAATAAAAAAATTTATCAGATATTATTTTATTTATATTCATTTTATAAATTTGAATTTTGTACTTGTTCACTTACGGAAAGCCTTAACTAACCAATACAAAATATAATTTGGTACCATCAAGGCTATATAAAGTATAATATGGTACTATCAAGGCTATACTAAGTATACTATGGTACTATCAGGCGCAAAGCAATGCTCTTCTTTTGTATTGCGCAGATTTTAAATAAAATTTTAAATTTATAATCTCAGTTTTGATGACAAATATTGCATATTCAAACAGCCAGACCTGTTTTGGTGCTGCCAGAGCAATATGGGCACCAAAAAAAAAGCGCCTAAAAATATTTTTATCTTTATTTGGCTTTTTTATTTTAAATAAGAAAAACATTTTTGGCTTCTAATGCAATAGTAAAAAACTTCTGTTTATTTTAGCTACTTCATTTTTTCTTCAGGACAATAAAATAAATTAAAAAGTAATAAATTTATCTTGTTTAACTTTTAAAACTCATTTGGTTACTAACCAAACATTAAATTTAAAAAGGGAAAGTTGTTACAAAACTTAATTTAAATACTCATTATGAAATTCAAATTAAATCAAATATATGAAAAAATTTGTTTCTTTAGAGGATTTTTTTTTGCTTGAAAAGTATAATTACAGGCCTTTGTATGAAGCAGGAGCGATTGCTCCTGTCACATGAAACACGCTCGTTAATGGAATATTTATAAATTGTGGGTGTGATAAAAAACGCTCACTAATTTAGTTACGAGAGTAAAAAATCGCATTCGTCCTAAAAATTTGGGAGGGAGAAAACTAATCGTGGTTTACTTGATTTTATATTAATTTTTTTTTAATAAAAAGTTTAAGTTAAAGATCCTTGTTTAATTAAACAAAAAAGCTTGCTTATTGTTAAAAACAAAATATTCTCTAATCACATATCTTTAATTACGTTTTTTCAATTGAGGTAAAATGTTAAAGTTATACTTTAATTGAAAAACTAATTTTTTCACGTTAACTTATGTCATTCTGTTGAAATTAGAGCGCAAATTAATAAGTTTATTAATAGTATTAACCATTTATTGTTTACTATATGAAGACATTAAGTAAAAAAATATTCCTTTGGCAAAAAAACATAATTTTATATCATTAATTGCAAATTCAATAAAAAAAATTTTTTTGCTACCATCAGCAGTTTTCAAATTGCAAATGAATGCCATTTGGCGATTATGAACCATTAAAGGAAAAATATATATATATATATATATATATATATATATATATATATATATATATATATATATATATATATTTGAATAAAACTATTATACATGAAAAGAATAAAAACAATTTTTATTTTATTTAAACATGAACAAATGTTGAATTTTTTGCAAAAAAATGCAACATTTAAGTTTCTTCTCACGATGTTAAGGCCAATGATTTAAAAAATCAAGCTGAATATCTTTTTTTGGTAATGGAATTTAATTCTTTCGCTTTTATTGTGTGCCAAAGGGTTTCTCTGCATAAGATAAGCTAGATGCAATTTGTGTCGTAAACTGAAGTAATGTCAGCTGTTGTTTTTTTTTAGAAATATTTAATTGATTGCAATGACTCCTGCAATCAATTAAAGAAAAATAACCGGAATTCCGGAAATATCCAGAAAAAGAAAATCTGAGTAATTAAAATTATAAATTTATTTGAGAGAAAATTTTAAGAAAAGTTTAAATTTGTGAAAATATTTGCTAAAAAAGTTATAAAAGTTCTATTAGCGTTAGCAACAAAAAAACATTATAAGTATTAACGAAAAGAAATTGTTATTTCATTGCTTTAATGACGCGAAAACATGAGTTTATATTTTAATTAAACGAACGAAACAATAAAAAAAAATAAAAAACTTATGAACTTCTTTCAAATAAATTTGATGAAATAATAAAAAAAAAGTGACTGCAGTATTAAGTTAAAGAAGAAGACAATAACAAAAAAAATCCATAAAATACATAAAGATAAATTTATTCTTAAAAACAAGATCATTAAAAACTAGGTGGGAAAAAAAACACAATCAGATGCAATCAAATAATAAATTAGTATTTAGAAAGTCAAAAGAATTTTTAAACGTTTTACCAGGCAGTGCGCTGCTAAATAACAATTTGAAAATATTTATAGTCTAAAAAATGCCGTAAAACAAATTAAAACTTAATAAAAATGTGTGGAACACCCATACTCAATAAAATAAAAACGCTCTCAATAAATTAATAACGCGCTGGCATAATCGCGCTCACTAAAAAAATATTTGAATTTTACGGGCGCTAAACATCCTGCTGGACAATTTTCTTCATGCCAAGGCCTGTAATTATATGTATAATATTTGAAATTTTTATTATTTAAAATTTAACAATTCTTTAAAAGATAGAATGATTTGAAATATCCATTCAAAGTAAAGTTATCTTTTGTTTGGCAATTAAGAGTTAACTGTTTTTGATAATAAATGAACATAAAAATTTCAGTTTTAATAACACAATTCAATTTAATTAAACTTTTTAAATTAATCAATTTAACTTTTGAATGAACTCTTAATCTTTCGCTTTCTGTTTTATCTTACATTAGAAAAAGGTTGTAGGCCAAAAGTCTTCATAATATACGCCGCAATCTACAGACTTGAAATTTATTTGAGCATGTTTTATTTCTATGAATTTTAGTACATGACATCATTGATTTTTTTGTTTGTTTACATAATCATTTAAACTAACAAAAAAATCAATGACATCACATACTCTCAGGAAAAAAAGGCGCTTGAATAAATTATCAAGTCTGTAGATTTCGGTGTATATTATGAAGACTTACTGGCCTGCAAAAAAACTAAGAAGGCAAGCTTTTCAAAAAAAAAAAAAAAAAAAGTTAGTTTTTCTTGGTATGCATTTATTCTTTTCAATATTTCAAATTAATCAAAAAAATTCAACCCAAACATTGTTTTTATCAATCTCTTTAAAATGAACACAACATGCCTCGGAGGTTTGGGATCACTTTAATGATTAAAAAAATATTACTTGTTTTATCATTAAGTTTACTTACTTTTATCATTAAGTTTACAAAGTATAAAAAACTTTAAAAATTATTAGTCTTTATTAAAAGTTAAATAAACAGGATTGCTCATGTTTAAATTGCAATTAAAATTAAAATAATAGCAAATACGTTTTTAAATCATAGATTATCCTAGTCATATTTTAAAAATCCAGAAAATGGTTTGGAAAAAACATCCGGAAAAAAATTTGTTTTCCCTTATTTTCTTTTTAATTTCGCTTTTAGTTGTTTCTAATCTTTTTTAAGTGATGAGTGAAAAAGCTTAAAAAATAAATATATTACAAAAATATATACCTCATCTTGCATGTATTGAAAATATTTTGGATATCCGGAAAAACTAAAAATTGAAAAAAAATATCCGGAATTCCGGAAATATCCGGAAAAAGATAATTCCTGTTAAATACTTATGCTTTGCATTCAAATAGCTATTGTCTATTATACAGTGTCGGACCGTACTATAAGGCAAATAAGGCAGCCGCCTAGGGCCCCCAATGTTTAAGGGGCCCCCAAAAAGTTGAAAATGAAGAAATAAAAATTAAAAAAATACATTACTTTTTAGTTTTGAGGAAACATGCAATAATTTTTAAAAATTATTTAATTAAATTTATTCTCGCATAGTCGTAGAATCAGTTGTGTAGTAAATTGAAGAAAAATCAACATATATATATATATATATATATATATATATATATATATATATATATATATGTGAGGGGGGCCCTCCACATCCATGTCTGCCTAGGGCCCCAAAATTGCTGTCTGGCACTACTATTATATATAGACAATAGCAGTTTTGAGTTAATTTTGCAAATATTACACAATTTGTAAATATCGATTAAATTTTTTTTTTTTAATATTCAAAACATTTAATTACTACAAAAATTATAATTACTATATATATAAATATAGTTACTAAATGTTTAAAATAAATATTTCACAATTTTCAATAAATATTTACATTATTTATTGAAAGTTTTTACAACTTCTTAAACAGTTTTTCTTAGTTTAACAAAAGTAACATATGCTTATGTCCACCAGTAAATTCATGTAATCAAACAATTGCCTTTTATAAGGAGATGCTATTTTAAATCATCTCTTTATCTATGGACAAACATAATTAAACACAAACAAATTAATTATTAAAAATAAGATTGAGAACTTCCGACATCCTTCCCTCTCATTGCCAAAAAAAACCCTAACCGGTAATAAATAAACTCAGTTCATCACTGATATGATATGATATGGGAAACTATTCATATTACTTAAAATAATTGCATACATTTTTTTTGTTATTTTAACAACTAGAATAAATCTTCTTACCTCTTCTAATCCTTCCTTGTTTTCTTTTCTCATCAAGATCTTTTTCTGGAATTCCTTCCATGCCATATATTTCTACTTCAATATCTCCTCGACCAGTGACAGAATTAGGAATACTTGTAATAGGCTCCTTATGAACCTAAATTTTTTTTTGTCAAAGTATATTGTTATTAAACAAATTATAAAATGTATTATCAATAAGATAAAAGAAATTCTAATGTGATAATATGATATCTTATGTGATAAAAGAATTATCACATAAGATATCATCATATTATCACATAAGAAATTAAAGTAAACTTAAATAGAAAACAATAAAAGAATTATCACATAAGATATCATCATATTATCACATAAGAAATTAAAGTAAACTTAAGTAGAAAACAATAATAATAGTTTAAATAATTTGTGTTGTTTTTTCTTTGTGGTTATTATTATCGGCAACAAAATTCAGTAAGTTAAAGCAAAAAAATAACGGGATTAAGCATTAAACAGGATGACTTTTCTATATTTTATGTTTTTTCTTTTAAAGAGGAAAAAGAAAACATGTATCACCATTTGTTTGTAAAAAATATTTGTATAACTGTAATGTAACAAGTATATATCAAGGCTTAAATTACACGATTGCGATTTGCAAACTCTGGTAAAATATTTGGTCTTTAAAATTTTAGTTCATGCAAAGCTGTGTACTTTGTTTACAAGGAGCAAATTATTAAAAGTTTGCTAGCGAGAAAGTTACAAAAAACAAAACAAAAACAATAAACTTACGACTGCAAAAGTAATAACACTTAAGTCACTAACTGCATTATAAAGGTAATAAAACTATAATAGTGTTATTACATTTATAAAGCACTTATTACTTTTAAAATTCATTCTTTGTTCGAACAACATTATTAATTCCATACATTTTTTAAAGTAGAAAAGCATCTAGAAAAAATAAAGCGGATATTAAAATATTATTAAAAATTTCAGGAACTTTTACAGATCACTTAAAAAACATTATAAAAGTATTTTATAAAAAGTATAGCATTATGAAAAATGTTACGTAAAAATGTGCGTTAATTTTAAAATCAACAAATAAAAATTTTTATTGGTTAATTTTTAAATTAACGCCTGTTTATATGGTCCATTAGTAAGGTTTTTCATAATGCTAAACTTTTAAAAAAATACGTTTTTACAAAGTTGTTTGTAAAGTTTTTATAAGTTATTTAAGTTTTAAATATAATTTGAATATCCACTTTTTTCTTCTAGATATTTTTCTACTTTAATTAAAATTTGGGATTACTTATGCTGCTTGAACAAAGCAGAAATTTTAAAAGTTATAAGTGCGTTATAAAGATAATAACACTATTATAGTGTTATTACTTTTGTAATGCAGTTAGTGACATGAGTGTTATTACTTTTGTAACCATAAGTTTATTGTTTTATTTTTTATTTTTTCACTTACAAATTTAAGTTGATTCGCCCCTTAAAAACAAGGAACACAGTTCTTTATAAACTAAAATTTTGAATACCAGATATTTTTCCAGATTTTGGGTTTCGCATTCATCTAATTCAACCTTTGTTATTACATTATTATTGTTGTTACATTAAAATCATACAAATATATTTTAAAAACACATTGCAATTTACATTTTTGCTATCCTCTTAAAAAAAAAAAAAGTTAAGAAAAGGAAAATCATTCTTTTTATTTGCAGACTTCAAGCTGTTTTTTTTTTTTTTGCTTCGCCTTATCTAATTTTGTTGCTGGATGTAACAACCACTCTTAAGAAACAAAAATAAAAACAGTACACAAATAATTTAAACTATTAATGTGTTTTAATTTTTTTCTATTTTAATCTTTTTATTTTGTTAGTTTATTTTTGTTTTTGAAACTTTCTCAGCATTGATTATTATAAAACTTGCGAATGGCCGTGTTCAAGTTGTCTAAAATAAGATAGTCGCGTGTGTTTATACAAGACGCTTAATGCTTCAATTTGTGCAAATATTGACAGTTTTAAAGAACTTTGTCAAAATATTTTATTTAACAACATAGGGCTGCTTGACAGAATAATAGTACACAAGCAGGAAAAATAAAACTTGGACTTAAGTATGTGATGATAATATTGTCCAATGCTGTGTAGATTTTGAATTGTTGGATCAAATCACAATGCTTTAAGGGTAGTAATGCTGTCATTCTTGAAATGATTGTTGCTGTGTTTCGGGTATTATTTTTTTTGAGCAGCATTGTACTTCTTCAAGAGTGGGGCTTGGTCAGGAAGAAGGAGTGATCACTCTTGATTACTGACCACAGAAATAATATTCAGTTGCAAAAAACTGGCCAAATTTTTTAGTTGTTTTGAAAACATTTTGAAAAAAGAAAAAAAAAAAAGCGCAAAAAAGTTTAACTGGACTGATGAGAGACAATTACAAAAATAAATAAATAATAAACTAGGAAAATAAAATAACTTTTAATGTGAAAAAAAAAAAGAAGAAAATAAATTAAGTTTAGAATAAATATTTTCGAAACATCGCTCTTTTCTAATTTTTTTATAAAATTAAACAACATTTTTTGATATAAAGTGACATTTTACTATTATTTAATCAAGAAACAAATGTTCTTTTATTTATCAAAGAGTATAATATAATTTTTATCTATATACTTGTCTCATTTCCAGTGTTAGATAAAAGATGGGCAGGGTTAGAAAGGGGCTATAGCTCTAGGCCCCCAAAAAGTCAAGAAGACCTTTTTTTTAAGCTTTTAAACCCGAAAAGTTCAGAAAGATTCTAATAAAACTAACGTTAGTTTTAGTTTTATTTAAGCTAAATTATTTTATAAATAAAGTTAATTTTTTAACCTGTAAACCTTCTTCTTTATCAGTAATAGTCTAATTGTCACAAATTTTTTACAACATAATTACAGAGCTTTTGTTTCAATAATTCAGTTTTAAACATGTTCACTTTAATATTAAATGACAAACAAGGAAGTTCTTTCAAATAGATATAAAAATATAATAGTTACATTAATTAAACTTAGTAAAAAAACCATTAAGAAAAATTTTTACTCAGAAAATGTAAAAAATCTAATAAATGCTAAATATTTGTCTTTATCTCTATATAATCGCACTAACTACAGACCTATTTCTCTTTTATCTAACATTAGTAAGCTTCTTGATAAACTTATGTATTCTAGAGTGTATTCTATTCTAAACTCATTTAATTGTTTAAATGATTTTCAATTTGGTTTTCAAAACAAATTGAAAATCACAAACAAATCAAAACATTCTACTGCTATGCATTAATAAGTATAACAGAAAAAATCAGCAAAGCTCTTGATACTGGTCATTTCGTTATTGGTGTTTTTATCGATTTACAAAAAGCTTTTGATACCTTTGACCGTAGTATTTGATTTCTAAATTAAAACATTATGGAATTCGCGGTATTGTAAATGGTTTCGATTTTATAAATTAGTTTTGTATGGTGTTCTTCAAGGTTCTGTTCTAGGTCCTCTTTTGTTTTTAATCTACGATAACGACCTAATTAACTCTGTTCACTTCTCTTCAGTCCATCTGTTTGCTGATGATACAAATCTCTTGCACATCAACAAATCATATCATTCTTTATGTAAAAATGTTAATTTGGATCTAAAAGGTATAGTTCACTGGTTAAATGCTAATTTAATGTCTCAACACCGAAAAAACTGAACTAATTTTTTTTTCATCGTCAAGAAAAAACAATTTCTTTAAAAATGTTGAAATCAAAATTTATGATAAACAGCTATATCCTTCAAGAGTTATTAAATATATTGGTGTATTAATTGATTGAATCTTTCATAGAACTTTCATAATGATGAACTAAGCAAGAAACTCGAGCTAACGGTAAGCTTTCAATAATTCATCATTATGTCGATTACACTTAGGAGTATTTACTATGCATTATTCTCATCTCATCTCATCTTAGCTACTTGTTGTCAAGTTTGGGGTCAAGTTGGAAACTATCGCATTAACAAGTTGCTATCGTCTCAGCGTCAATCCATTAGATTAATAAACTTCCAATCAAATATATCAGATACATCGAAGTCCTTCAAAAAAATTTTTATTTCAACATTTCCAGCGCTAGTAAAGTATGCTAATCTTCTTTTTGTTTTTGACTCCTTAAATAAAAACATACCATCTCCTATCACAAACTTGTTCACAGAAAGTAGACTATTACATTCCTACTCGACTAGAAATATACACAATGAAAAACTAAATGTGCCATCTTTTAAAACCCGGAAGTATGCAGGGGCGTGGTGGCACCAGATGCTATGCGGGATTCCCACATGGGCTTTTCACTTTTTTAATCTAAATTTGGGCCTTTTGTCACTTGTTAATTTAAATACAAACCTTTTTGGCATTTTTACTTTTTTTGACATTGTGAAAAAAATCCTCTAATACTTTTATATTTACTATATTTATGTCTGCACAAATTCTATTTAATTAATCGCTTGATTTAAATAGTTCAACTCTCTGATCTCCAAATAAAATTATTTTTTTGAGATCAGCGGTTCAACTTAAGGCGAATTTGTTTAGTATTTCGTATAATAGCTCTAAAAAACATTGCTCTGAAAACAAAGTCCATATTTTGAAAAAACGTTTTGATTTTTTTTTTTTAATTTGGTTTTTAACGATCGTAAAGTTCTAAGAATAAATTCAATAAAATCGTAATACAAAATAAGTATGTTATGCATATTTGCAATGTTTCAAAATCAATATAGATACTTGTTTTATAGTAAAAAAATTTATGTATTTTTATAAAAATTAGATTCTAATAATGTACGTAGCATTGCTATTTTAAATGTACTTAAACATTTTTTTTACACATTTACGCATAACTTAATGACAAATTTTAAAATAACATTTATTCAAATATATAGCATAGTCATATATATAATATATATATATATATATATATATATATATATATATATATATATATATATATTAACGGCACTTTTATTTTGGTTAATAAAGCAGGGTTAATAAAGCAAACCCTCCGCAACATGCTGTTGAAAAAGCCTGGTTGAAAAAGTCTGGTTGAAAAAGTTTAAAAGCAGTGCAAAAAGTACATTAAAAAAAATTTTTTCATGCAAGTTTTCAATTATGAAATATGTAAATATACATTAATAAAAAGTAACTATCCAAGTAAAAGACGGCGTTGTTCATGGCTTCCAGCTGCAAATATAATGACAATTTCATTTAAAGCAAAAAAATTTCTCTCAACTTGTTAAAGCTGAGCCATGTACGAACTGTTTCATCTAGCTCTTTATCAATATTGCTCTTATAAACTCTTTTTACTGCATTCTTTACAGAGCTCAGTTGAATTGGATGGGTACAAGTTATAAAACTTACCTCTTGTCCTGTTGCTGGCCTTTGCCAAAGTTTATTTGAATCATTTATGTTATCCAATGTTTGGAGGTACTAAATACTAATATGGTCCGATGGTTTATTTATGGATCATTTATAATCGATCAATTGTTTATTATCAATCAATTGTTTACGATGGATCATTTATCTTCCTAAACCAATTTTCCCAAGTATTTATGTATGTCAAATACAATCAAGGTAACTATAAAATTACTCCCTGCTATTAGTTAACACAACTTATTGAACTGCATACATTTTTAATATAATAACACCCACGAGTTTCAAAAAAAATATAACATTAAAACCTTTTTAAAATAGCATTAAACCCTATTATTTAACAAACATATTTTACTGTAAGTGTGGGTGTACCGCAAAAATTTAAAAATATAATGTGATATTTGATCTACACACTTAACGCATTTGACGACGCAATTTATTTAAATTTTTTTTTTTTTATGTATTCATGTATGTTTAAAATACATTAAAGGTTTAATTACTTTTAAATTTTTCTGTTATCATTTTTTAAATTTTAATTTATTTTTAAAATTAAATAACAACTAAATAACATTTAGAAAAATATGAAATATTTTTTAATTAAGTAACTGATAAATAAAACTATAATATAAAAATTTTTATCTTTAAAGTATGCCAATTACGAGACCATTTTAAAGAGCGTTATTGTGTGTTAAAATAGTGTGATGAATAATAGCTAGTTAAAATGCAGAATCAAAAAAAGCGTTAACTATCTTTAAAAGATAGTTTACGTTTTTTTTGCTATCATAAAATATTCTCATTTTCAAGGCAAAATTTTTTTTTTTAATTTTTTTTTTTTTTTGTAAAATTTAAAACAATTTTTATTAAAAAATATATATATCATTACATAATAAAACTTAAATCTTTGATTTTTAATTTTGTGGTAATGGCTATTAGTAAAACAATAAAATTTAAATCGTCCTTAGTTACCATAACTTTAGCGGCAAATATGTATTTTAAGGAAATCAAAACAAAAACGTGGTCGCTGCAACCCGGTGTTACCATTTTTAGTAATGAATACTACAAACCTCATCTTGCTAATTCGGATTAAATACTTTAGTAGTACTATATGTAATATATATATATATATATATATATATATATATATATATATATATATATATATATATATATATATATATATATATAGGAATGGGCTTTAACATCCATCACATATGGTAAAATCCAATATATATAGGTTTTTTTAATTAAATCCCGCATAGGTCTTTTAGAGCCACTACGCCCCTAGAAATATGGTAAACATTCTATTGTTTATCAATGCGTCTGTGAATTGAACAGGAGCCTTGCATGCATTTTTAATGAGTCCAAAAAAATATATCCTAAAATACCTTTACTCTATCTTAAACAATATCAATTTAAAAACTTCTGAAAAACTTTTTATTCTAACTTTTTGGCATTATTATTCTTATGATTTAAATATTATTTTAATTTTCTTTTCGTAATTACTACTATTATAATCAGCACTATTTGTTTATTTTTTTAAATCTTTTTTATTAGTAAAACCTGCAAATTTATTTCTACATGTTTGTTTTGATGTATATTTTATGTGCTTTGGTTTGTGTGTTTACAGTCCATGTGTTTCAGTGTGTGTCTTTACTTATTATTACTTATATTAAAAATTGGTGTCACTCCTTTGATCAGATTTCTGTATGAGTGACACCATCCTAATAAATTAACTTATAAAATAAATTAACTTATTATTATATTAATATTAGTTATTGTTATTATTTTTTCATTGTAATTATTGTAAACATACTTATTATTACTATTACTATAATTTGTATAACTATTTTTTTTATCTTATGTTATTATTATATATTTTTGCTATTAATGCTATTATTATTATCATTATTATCAAAACTATTGTAAAATGATTTACGGAAAATAAATAGCTTTGTTGTTGTTGTTTGTTCTTTCAGGGCAAAAATAATTATCAAAAATTAAATACTTACTCACGAAAAGATAAAAAATTATGTAAGTTGTATAAATCAATAATGAAAAGATATATTTGATGATTATTGAAAATGAAAATTAAAAAAAAAAATGCTTATTGAAAACGATAATATAAAAAAAACAATAACTACTAAAATATAAATTAAAAACTAAAGCCATTATAAATGCTTTAAACAAAAAACGTAATAAAAAGATATGTAGGCAAGTGTATTTAGATAAATGTTTGGCAAATCATTTCCACAATAAATTATAAAATTTCAAAATACCTGCATAGTGTGAATAGCAAGCCCTGGACCAGTGTATAACTTTTTATGGCAAACATGACATTTGAAATGTTTAGCTTTTTGATGTTGAATTAAAACTTTTTCTTCCTCAAAATCCCTATTACAATACCTAGAGAAAGTAGTTAAAGAAAACCTGGTCTTTTAAAGAGAGTCAAATCTGGAAAATTCTAGAGAGAAAACTATAAGTATTGAATTAAAAAAACATACAAACAAAAAAGTATAATTCATCCACTAAACAAATCATATAAAAAGATTTACATCTTATATTAACAAGTTGGAAGTAAAAAACAACAAAAGCTAAAATTTTACAATTTTTAAAAATCTTATTTTCAAATATTTCATATATTTTGAAACTTTAGAAATATCAAATTATGTACATTACTATACTAAACTGCATAATATCAAATTTGAATTAAATAAAAGCAACTAAGTAAGATTACTCGAAAAATAAGTAGAAGTTAAACACATTCTTAATAAAAGTTTATTTTTGGTTTGGTCTCTCTTAAACTATTATCTCATTCTTCCTTGTCATCAGAGTCCCCCTATCATCATACCTTTTACAACTTTATTAAATTTGACTAGGACTCTTTCTGTGATTTACTCTGTGACAGCCCTTGGGTTGAAATCTTTTGTCTTCCTGCTGACAAATGTGCTTCTTATGACATGGAGTATTTTATTCCCTCTCGATGATTCCCAGCCACAGCCTCCTCTGTGGTTTTACTCTTATTATGCAGCTGCAATTTCAAACTGTAACCATTACTTCCATATCTATCACCAAAACAATTCTTAAGAAAACAGATATCGGTTTACTATGGCTAGACACCATTGTAAAAAGGTTTAGTCTAATGCCTGAGCCTGAAATGTTTGGGTCGAAAAATCTCGTAATTTATCTCAAAAATGAGACTTCAGGAATTTCTGGAGAAACTTTCACAGTGTCTGTAATAAGAGAAAATATGTAAAGTAATTAAAGTAATTCCTCCTCTCTTGCATGGCTCAGATTTTGTCACCTCATCTAAAGACAAAGCTGAATTGTTTGCTAAGAACAATTCATCAATCTCATTTCTTGATTCCATTAATCACATCCTACCTGAAATAGCCGACAAACAGGTTGATCCACTGCTTGATATTTGTGTCATTCCAGCTTCTGTATCTTAAGTGATTTCCTATTTGGACTCTTCTACAGCTAGTGGTTTAGACAACATATCTGTTATAGTTAAACAGAAGTGTTTTCCAGAGCTGTCGTATATATTTTCCAAACTATTTAGAAAGTGATTATCAGGTTATATCTTTAAAGTTACTGAATCCTTCCTCACTAATCATAGTATTACAGTTTTTCTCGATGAACATTTCCTGTAACTTCAGGGGTTCCTCAAAGTTTTATCCTTGGCCCCATACTTTTTTTAATTTTATTTTCCCACTAATTCTCACATTTAAGGTTGCATTGTTCGCTGATATACTAGCATTTATTTTTTCTGTTGATAAGAAGTCAATACTCTGACTGCTCAGAGGGAACATTTTAGCTTGCAAAAGATCTTCTGCTACAACAAGGGGCTCTCAGTGGCTGGTGAACTTTAACTCAGACAAAACAAATTATTTTTCAGCTAACTGTTATCACAACAATCTAAATCTTTCTATATTTATGAACAGTAATGTTCTTGATGAGACATCTACCCATTGTCTTTTAGGATTGACTCTTACTTCCGCTCTTTTTTAAAAACCATATATCGAATCAACTGCAAAGTTAGCATCTGGTAAGGCTGCATCTCTTTATCGTGCCTGACACTTTCTTACTCTGGATTCTATTCCTTATTTCTATATAATCGCAAATCCGTCCTTGAATGGAATACTGTTGCGCTTCAAAAATTCCTATCTAGTTTTTGTTCCATCGAACATCAGTTCTTTGGAACTCTTGTTTTTCCGATTCATACAACTTTTAATCTTTATTAATTGTCTGGTGTTTAAAATAATTTAAAATAAGTTTTGACTGTTGCATAATGTGTGTGTGTGTATATATATATATATATATATATATATATATATATATATATATATATATATATATATATATATATATATATATATATTATATATATATACACACACTGCACAATTTACATCAATTATATATAACATTAAAAGCAATCAGTAAAAACAAGTGTGCCTATCCACTTCGAAAACAGTGTTGTTGGCCATGATGTTTATTAAAGTTTTTAATGTTTTTATTTTACCAATAAATATATTTTTTATTATTAAATACTTAATATTTGAATATGAGTATTTAATAATAACTTAATATGATAACTTATTAAATACTTGATATATTATTTTAAAGGTTTCAAAAAAGAAATGTTAAAACAACTTTTATCTTATTTTTAGTTCCTTTCTATTTAAATTTCTTAAAGTAAATATACTTTTTTTTAAGTAAATAAATTTAATTAAATTGAGCAAAATTTACAACAAATGTTTATTAATTTACAGCCATAAGGTTATTGCATATTAGTTATTATTAATTTGCACGTACTTTGCAAATGTGCGAAAAAATGTTTTAAAATAACAAAAAATTTGATCAAATTCAATAAGCATCTTTGATATATCTAATAATTTATTAACTAGAATAAAAATTATTTTAAAATAAATATCCCTTACAATTTAATAAAAATTTATTTGAATAAAAAATTATTTGATTAAAATTATTTAAAAATTAAACTGCTTTATTTGACATTTACCTCTTACATTTGACGTTTGTCAACAAATAAAGATACAACGTCAAAGAACTAATCATAAATATAGACAATATGAAGCATATGCTATGCTCTAGTAACTGTAATAGTGACTAGAGATGTCATAACCGTTAAACAATGAAGATTGTCAAGTTACAACACAATTTAATACTTTGGTCTTAAGTAATTATTTTAAACTAGCATACAGAAACATGAGGTTGTAAAAGAGTTATATCCAACATTAAAATCACGAACTAAAACTTCCCACTGCCCTGATTCCAACTTCCCCTCTAAAATACTTAAACAAATCCCAACGTCCATTAGCAATAGATTATCATAAAATTCTTTAAATGAAAATAACAGAATACAAAAATGGAACTAAAGAACATCTTCACTGATTTTGATTTAAGATTTAATCCTAAAAAAAGAGCCAAATCATAAAGAAAAATATAACATGGTTCAACACCCCCCCCCCTCTCCACTACCACCACCACACACACAGTTAAAGCATTTTTATAAATGCTGGACATATTTTCCTAAACTTAATTGACAAAAATTTTCCAATATGTAACACCCTAAACAAGTTATTCAGTCAAAATACAATTTAAATGAGCTACACCAAAAATACTGACAAAATAATAAAAAATCACAACAACAACAAAAAAATCATATTCCATTTGACCCCATTTTACTCTATATACTTACACTAATATATAGTATAGTATATATATACTTACACACTTAAGTATATATATACTTATAATAATATATACTATACATACTAAATTTATATATACAATATACTAAGTCTATTATATATTTATTAAGTATATAATCAGGTATATAAAAAATTATTCACTTGATAGTATTGATAATCAAATATTATTGAAATAGATATTAAAAATTAAATTGTGCATTCAGTTTAAATTAGAAAGCAGTTTTCTGTTTTGTACAAACAATAAATAGAAAGTTAAGAAGTCATTAATGCTTACAGATAGAATGGAATGTAAACTATTTCAAAAACCTTTCGTCCCAATGAGAATAGAAAACTTTAATTAAAAAATTAAAATTTGATTGAATTTTGAAAAATCAAAAGTGTTAATCCCCAATAATTTGCAAAAATGTAAGTTTCTTCTGCTTTATTGTTTTTAATATTTCACACATCTGTTGTAAATAAAAAAATATTTTTAATTTTTTATTTATTTTAAATTAAAATCATTTCTGTTGTTTAGAATGTCCGCAATCAAGCATGTCAATTCAACTTCGATAAGAAACAAATTTATGTTGTTAACTTTTAGTAAATGGAGATATCATATCGCTTGCTGATAATGCATTTCAGTATTATAAGCGCGAAGTATTGCACTGGGCGATTTTATTCATCACAAGCGCTGCATATGCATAGATCATCCTAATCATATTTGAAAAGAAAATTGTTTGGCTAAAATAATTGGGAATTAAGGGAAAAATCTTTTTTTCCCTCAATTTCCTTTGAACTTTGTTTTTAGCTGAGTTTCTAATTTTTTTCAAATTTTTAATAATTTTTCTATGAGTGATGAGTGAAAAAGCTTTAGAAAAATATATAACTTACATGTATCGAAAGTGTTTTGGATATCCAGAAAAATTTGAAAAAAATATCCAAAATTCCAGAAGTGTTTAGGAAAAGATAATGCATGCATATGACAAATAAGCTCAAAGTAACACCCAATTTTAACTGGTAATAATTTAAAAAGGTTCCCACGTGTAATAACACCAAAAAAATAGTTTTCTTTTGACTCCACAAAAAACTTCATACCCTAAGGTACTCTAGAATTGCTCAAAAATAAAATTGAAATAACTCCAAAGTTTCATCATGAAAAAAAGTTTTTGCTTGACAACCAAAACCCTAAGATTAAAAAACTAAAAACTTGAAGCTGTGAATTATACTGAGACATTGTTCAATGTTACTATATTATACAATGTTAATTATATATTATACAATGTTAAACTATACTGAGGCATTGTTCAAAGTAAATACTTTCCTAAGTTAGTACATAAAAAACAACTTTGTAGGCCAGTGCCAGGTTAGCAACTCAAAAAAAAAAAATTATGACCCACCCTGTTGTGCGTGTGTGAGTATATATATATATATATATATATATATATATATATATATATATATATATATATATATATATAGGCCTCTGCAGGAATAAATTAGTGCAAGAACAAGGGAAAGCTCCCCTAAAATAAACATGGTGAACCATGCGAACAGCTCCTCTAAATAGCTTTTTACAAGAGCTTTTGGTTTACTCTTAAGATATCTGCTTATTTGTTAAAAAATTGTTTGTTAAATGCACAATTTGATTTTATGCTTGTTATATATATATAATTATATATATATATATATATATATATATATATATATATATATATATATATATATATATATATATATATATATATATATATATATATATATATATATATATATAGGTAAAGCTACAGTTACATGGCCTAAAATAATTATATTTTTGCCCATGTTGCGCCAGGGGGTTTGCTACACTGAATATCTTATATCCTGACTCGCAATGGAATGCTGCTACATCGACTATCTTATAGCCTGCTGCTACAAGGAAGTGCTGCTAATTCGACTGAGGGTTTGGCATAGGGCAGCAACCTTTTTTCTTTTATTATATCAATTATATTCCTATTGTTTGTAAAGCCTCTACTGACAAGCAAAAAAATAATATTATTTTTGGCCGCGTATTACCATACGCGTATTACGTAGAATTACCATACATGCTATTGTACATAACATATATATATATATATATATATATATATATATATATATATATATATATATATATATATATATATATATATATATATATATATGTTATGTTTGCGCACAAACTTTACACAACTATGATTTAACTGTATGTATCAAATAAGCTTTTGGTACACAGTTTAAAAACCACAAATGCTTTGTATGACGATTATTTGTAACACAACTGATGCTAATTTAATTTTTTTTTTAAGTGTTTGATAAATTATTTGTATCTGCTATGCAAACTACTTATTTGATAAAAATCTTATGAAGATAAAACGGATTATTTTTCTTACAGGGATATACTGCAAATCGGAAATATAATTGTTTTCATAATGATTTATATAATATAAAAAAATCATTCTATATTTAAAGATTTAAATTTTAACAGCTGGAATGCATAAATAGAGCTTTTTTAACAATCAATATCAACTATAGCATTAAAATCACGTTATTGCACTAAAATCAAAGCCAAATGAAAAGATACCAACACCATGGTTTCATCTGCTTCTTCTTTTTCCTTCCCATATTTGTTTGTATCTGTGAAACATACAAGTTCCACGCGCAATCTTTGTATGCTCGGACGACCCTATTTTAAATTAATAACTGAGATAACTTTGCGAATATTTTGGGAGATAAATGGAAAAAAAAGATATAGTGGATTTAAATTGTTATAATAATTCTTTATCGTGTTATAAGTTAATATTTTATTAGGAATTATTTAGATGAACTTCAAAAGACTTAAAATAAACATATAAGAAATTCTAATCACAGGTTTATTTGGTCCGTGAATAAATAGGGGGGCTATAGCCCCGGGATCCGTAAATTTAGGGGCCCCCTAAAATTTTAAAAGATCTTGTTTTTTTTTTTAGTCATTTTTGGGCTCTGGCCCATAAAAAGGCCTCTAAAAACAAAAATAGCCCCGGGACCAAGAAATCTTAATCCGCCACTGGAATGACTATAATAGAAATTCTATATATGAATTTCTATCTATGAATCATTATTTTAGATGTTCTTTCTGGACAGTTAAAATAATCATTATGGAAAGAAATTGCTCCATTTGTATAAATCGCAAATTAAACATAAAGTCAGAAACCTCATTTCAGCAAAATGTACAAAAATGTCAAGTCTGAACCAACCTGGGTTAGCTTTAAGTTCCCATTGTGCTGTTTTAAAACAACCGGTAAAAAATAAAAATTCAGCTTTACGAATTTTTTTTATATAAACCAGTGGTACTTTTAGGTCATATTTATTTTAGTTCACTGCATACATATTTCAATTGCCACATACTATATCTGATTTAGCACTTTACTATATGATTTTAATTTTTTTAAACTAAGCCATTGACTCAATAGCACTGAAGGCTAGCACGCTGCCTTGAATACCTCGTAGCGTGGGCCGGATCTTCACAATTTTTTGAACTTGTTTTCCTGATAAAACTCTTGATGATTCATGTATCATTCTTGTATTCATATCATTCAATTTTTTTTTATTGTGCGGGAAGATTTTTTTTTTTAATTTAAAATTTGTACTCAATACCCAACCAAACGTTTAGGTTGTCTATTTTACCTCAAATATTTCAAGGACAAATATTGTCTTTCTAAAGTAGACCTTTTTACTTAATCTAAATATGTACTTCAAAAAAAAGGCATTTTGTAAAGCTACTTTTTTAAATGAGCGATTTCAAAAGTATTATTTATTATATAAATTTACTACCACAGACTGGATTAACTTTGGTCATGGAAGTAACTTTACCCAAGGAAGATTTTTTTGTTTACAACGGTATTCAAATTTAGTTCAGTAAGTTAGGTTAACATTTTATTAAAATTTACGAGAAACTTATTAGTTACTTTGTCAAACTTAGTTAACTTGACTTTAGTTTATTTGACATCCTAGTAAATAGCATTTTTTAGGAGCATTTAAAAATCGATTTTTTCTTTTCGCTGTGTAAAATTTTACTTACATAGCAGTTTCTTGTAAGGTATTCACTGCAATATGCACTGAATTCATTTTTAATAAAATTTATACAGCTTAGTGTAAAAGATAGTTAAATCAAAAATGGCGTTATTAAAATTCAGTTTAATAAAAGTTTGATAAATTATTCCGATAAATTTCTAAAAGTTTAATTATTTTCTGTTTATTTTTACAATGTAAGAATACAATAACGTAACTAAATAATTGTTATGCTTTTTTACGAAGAATTCTTTTCAAAAGATTGCTTGTTAATAATAATAGTAATAATAATAATAATGATAATAATAGCAATAATAGCAGTAATAATAATAACAATAATAACAATAATATATATATATATATATATATATATATATATATATATATATATATATATAATGATATATCTAATAACTATAATAATAATACAAAATAATAATAATAATAAGTATAAATAATACAATAACTATAAATAATATTAAGAATAATTATAACACGATATAAATTGAATGTACATATCATAGATAATAATTAAATACAGTAATAACATAAAATGTAGCAATGATAACAAAATAATAAATAAATGTAATATAGATAAATAATAAATAAAGCAGAAGTCAAACCATCCGTTCTTTAGAGAAATTATATATCGAAGACAATTACATAACAGAAAGATATTATAAAGAAATACACTACAACAATACATTTATAAATTGAATTCTGTTGAGCAGTATATAATTCGTAACTAGGGGATATTTTTTAGACTTTTATTAATGCAGGAATACACTGGTTCTATAGGGAAATGCATTGTTGTTTTATGGAAAACTTACCATATTTAACTGTGTTGAAAAAAGAAAAGTATAGCTACCTATTTTCTGTATTCCTGGTGTGATGATTATGATTTTCATTTGTTTTAATAAAAAAATTTAAAAAAGAGTTTGGTAATTTATCTTGGAGAAAGTCATACACAAAAAGATAATTGTAAAACTTACAAGATCATGAAGTCTTAGGATTTTTAGTTCAGAAAATATTTTTTGGATATCAGATCTCATTGGTGAAAACATCATTATTCTAATAGATGTAAGTTTTTTTTTTAGATGGTACAGTTGAGTATACCAAGATAGGTTTTTATCAAGATATATTCCAAGATACTTTATATATTTTGACAGAAAAAGTTTATTTCCGTTAATTTCATTTTTAATAGTAACAATAGTTTTTCGAGGGGAATGAAAAATAATGTATTCAGTTTTATTGACATTAAAGGAAATACGATTACTATTTAACCAGTTACATAAACGATGAAGATCTTGATTAACTTTTTTACAAAGAGTAATAAGTGATTTGTTGATATATAAAAGATTGGTATCATCAGCATAATGATGTACCATAGAATTTTTTAATGAACAAGATAAACCATTTATATATAATAAAAACAATAACGGTCTAAGAACGGAACCTTGTGGAGCGCCATATTTAAAGGCTTTATGTGTGAATTCAAATCCAATAATTGAAACAAACTGAGTGCGATCCCTAATATAAAAAGAAAACTAATGATTAGCAATACCACGTATTCCGTAGTAGTTTAACTTTTTATTAGAATGTTGTGATCAACCGTATCAAAAGCTTTTTGAAGATCTATGAATACACCACGCAATACACCAATACGCAAAGGAACCACTGTCAATTGCACCACGAATCATTTTAGTGATGCTAATAAGAGCATGAGAGGTGGAGTGATTTGAGAAAAACCCAAAGTGTCGAATATGAAAACAAGCATAACTATTCAAAAAGTTGTAAATACGAGAATACATAAGTTTTTCTAAAAGTTTGCTGACATTTGATAATAATGAAATTGGATTGTAGTTATTACTTTAAAGTTTTGAGTCTTTATTATGAATTGGGATAACAAAAGCAGTTTTTTTAAAATATCAGGGAATACACAGGTTATTAATGACAAATTAAAAAGCTCAGAATGTACAGGAGAGATAACATTTGCAAGAGCTTTAAAAATAGGTATTAAAATGCTGTTAGATCCCGAAGCCTTGCTGTTATTAAGAGAATGAATAATCGATAATACTTTCTTTTTGTCTGTAGGTTTTATGAATATTGATTTAAGGTTAGGATTTTAAAGATAATTATTAAATTCAGTATTGGATGAGTGAATCTTTTTTCTGTAATTCTTCCGGAACTGAAACAAAGAATGAATTAAAAGATTCCGAAATTTTAATGGGGTCGTATATCGCGGAGTTATTAGAAGATAAACATGAAGTATATGAGTTAACTCTCGAACTAATATTTAAAAGATTCCTAATACCATCCCATGTAGATTTCAAATTTTGCCATTATCAGAGAAGAACTTGGAGTAACGGTTTTTTTTTTACTATACTCTCGCGTAAAGTATGGAGTTTTCCTCCTCACTAGTGTGTAGATATCACTCCTAGACACAAGTGTGGAGTTATTTTGCACAATTTTGTAAAAATTAACTTTTTCTAACTCAACTTATTGTTAAGTGTGGAATTATTTGCACAAAATTGTGCAAAATAACTCCACACTTGTGTCTAGGAGTGATAGCTACACACCGGTGTGGAGAAAAACTCAACACTTTCCGCGAGTGTGTACGACGGGTGAGAGTAACGAGTAAGTTTCTATATGTTTTTTTAGATTTTTTTATTTTTCTAGATTGAGTTTGTTATTAGGATTCTTTGCTTTAAGAAATTTGTTAAATATTTTATTCCGTATTTTAATTGAAGTCAAGATTCCTTGTGTTATCCAAGGTTTGAGACCCTTTAATAAGCAGCGATTGCTGACTTTTTTTAATGGTGCATGTTTATCTAAAAGAGAATTGAAACTTGTGAAAAACTCTTCAAATGACTTATTAGTCTTACCTTCGTTAACATTGATTACATCAATCCAGCTAATATTTGAGAAATCACTACATAATTCCTCGCAACTTATTTATTTTAAACTCCGACGAAAAATGCAGCTTTTTTGAGGATTAATTTGGTTCTATAAAACGGATGTATTAAAAATTGGGGTAAATGATCTGATACCGTGGAAGTAAAATTACCGGCAAAAATATATCTAGAAGTTGCATTAGAAAATATGTTATCAATCAAGAGTTTTGGAGTAATTCATGATTCTTGTTGGCAATGAAATAAAGAGAAGAAAGTTATTTAAAGCAATGTTGTCTAAAAATTCAGAGACAAAATTATATGAGTTTGCTAATAAAAGATCGACATTAAAATCGCCCATTAAAAAAGTAGTTTTTTTTTTTTCGATTGATAGCTTTTCAAAAAGTGGAATTAAGTATGATTTAAAAAATTCTGAAATCTTTAGTCACTCTTTCAAAATCATTTTCTCTTTTGTCATTCACTATAATTTTGCTTCAGTTTCAAACCTTTTAAAAGGTTTTTTAATTTTTCCTTTATTTCCTCGACTTTCTCTTATTCAATGAAGTTCATAACTCAAATTATCTTATTCAAATCAGACATAGTTTGACATGTTTGATAGAGTAGCTTTGTAAACAATATTTTTAGTTAGACATTGATTTTCTAAAGGACACGTAGCTCTGTCTATACAGTTGCATTTTCTAACGTTTTCGGTATTTTGGTTGCGCAAAATGTGTTGGTTGTGAGACTGCGAAATGAAAGGCGATTAAGTTCAAGAAAAGATTTCCTAATTTGGTGACAACATCCTTACTAAAAGGGGGATTAAACCATATGATGTTTCGTTTGCGTTTATTATCATGACGATTAGATTTTATAAATTTAAATAATGGATATTGCTGTTATGCCCAGACTTTATAAGGGCTTCTTTGTAAATAGAAGAAGAGTTTTCGAAAATTATTTTGCTGGAGAAGTTTGATAATAATCTTTGCTCAATAGAGGTCGGCAGCTGTTTTAAAATACTTGGTGGGTGGTTAGAGCTAGCATGGATATAGTTTAACAAATTTTTAGGTTTATGGTAAGGTTTGAAGCTGCAGTCTTTAAGATTTAATGTAATATCAAGATAATTCACAATTTTTATGTTGCATTGAATAGAAATATTAAGGCTGTTACTTTTAAATATCTGAGTTATATGTTTTTTAACTTTTTCCATTTGTGGACCGCTGGCGCTTTTAATTACGGCAAACCCATCATCTCTATACAGCCCAAAGTCAAACTTGTTATAAAATTGAGAAATTTAGAAAAGAAGGAAAACTCCAACCTACTCACATACCTCATCACCGTCAAAAGCTCCCATGGTGACGACAAATAAATCACCTGATTTTTTTATTCAAAATTCGTTATTGTTAAATAACAAGGATTTCCGTGCGTGATGAATCAAAGATTTGTGCTCGTTAGCAATGGTAACATACTGCAAAGAAAATAGAGTCGATAAGAAGTTTAATAGAAGGATAAAAGTCAACAATATCAAAAATGAGGAATTTATAAAAATGTTTGTCATTGATATTCTTGAACCTTTTAGCTTCCTCCTGTGTGTTACTCCACTGGTTAATACATAAAATATTTCTTAGTTGGTTGTTTATTTCGGATAAAATATGTTTACTTATTCTTCCTATTTCGTTCTTTGCTGGGTTTTTAAAATAATTTTTCCTTCTTTATTAATCTGATCTTTTATTATTGGATTGGTTTTTTTATAATTAGTTGTGGCAGTGTTTGTCATCAATTTATAGTATTCATCTTTAGGCAGCTTGTATAAGTTTGACGTCTTATCTGCATATGCATAGATAAGTTTCAAATTTTGAATAGAGGAAACATCATTTTTTGATTTATTTTGAAAGTTGCATTGGATCTTCCTAACTGCCTTCGTGTGGATTAAAAGTTCAAAAATATATTACAGTTAATGAATGACGTATTTGATGAAGATAAGTGTGGCCCACTTGTTGAACACATAATGCGGTTCACATAACTTATTCCACTTAATGTGGCATAATCCTTAAATAAATATGTGCTAAATTTGATGTAGCTATCATATGGGCCATACATATAAAACTCACGATCTTGCCTCATTTTGAATTTTAAATTTTAACCAATTGCAATAATTCTATCGCAATGCATTGTAAACTCTAGTATATTCCATGGTATCATGTGGCTTACCGTTTTGGTAATTTTCAATTCATAACTGTTGTAAGCATGTTTGAGAGATAAAAATAAATATTTATAAATGAAAAAGTGTAAATATATAAAATAAAAAACAAAAGCCTAGGATTGTTAGGACTTTTACTGATTGTAATATACAATTTGTTATCATTACTAAACTATGTTTTTTTTTATGCGATTTTATGTGTGATTTAGATTATATAACGGAATATTGTTAAAAAAATAATATTTAAAACTATATTACTTATATACCAAGAAGGATGTGTGGGTCCCCCTCTCCCCAACAAGAAAGGTATATGTGGCCCACATGTGGGCCACTCTTCAGCCAGCTGTCATTTCTGTAAGTTTATAAAGTGATTTTATTAAAAACAAGCGTAAACAAGTTAATGAAAAAAATTTTAAATAATTATTTTAAATGTGAAAACGAAAATATTTATTTAAACATGGACTTACACTTATTGATTACAATCAACTAATGTAAGTTTTTATTTTTTTAAATTAGATAAAATTTTACTAGGTTTTAATAATTAATATAAGACTATTTTAGACATCAACATCTAGTAGCCAACCATTCCTGCTAATACCACACCATGCTGTAAGTATTAAACATGTTCCTTGATAGCAATACTTTAAGTTAAAATTTGTTAAAGTTCTTATTAGATATTAAAATTTGATGAATGATTAGAATGTTTTTTGAGAGATCCAACACCAAGGCAAATTTACTCAAAGCTTCGTGTCATTACCAAATGATCCTGAAGAAATAAATTTACATTCAGTAAGCTTTTTGTAAATTTATTTCAGTAATTATAAGTTTGCTGTTAAGTAGAATAATTATAATTAATGATCATTAAAGTAAAATATGCATAAATGTAATTAAAAATTATATTTTTTAAATTGTTAATATATTAATAATATATTTATAATATATTTTGTTGGAGTTATCTTAGCCAATCCCTCACACCGAAAACTCCACTCATACCCTTACACCAATCACACAGTCAATTGAATACCGATTGTCTTTCTTGCCAATCCCTCACACCGAAAACTCCACTCACACCCTTACACCAATCACACAGTCAATTGAATACCGATTGTATTTCATTGAAAACCTACTTAAAGGTAAAAAATCTTTTAAAGTACATATATTAATTTGTCTTTCTTTTAAATACTTTTAACAATTTCATTTGATTAGATTTAGTAAAATCTGTAACTTCTGCGACAAAAGAGGTTAAACATCTGACAGAGCGTATGCCAATAGGTCATACTGAAGAAAGTTTATTCAAGAAATCAAGTAACATAAAAGAGTTAAATGCTGTGTTGTTGCAATGTCAGGATGAAGAAATAGCCTCACTTTTTGCAAGTTTTACTTAAAATATTATTGAAAAACTTTTAAATTAAAACTCCGGTTGCATCAATTGAAAATCAATTGAAAAATTAAATATTAGAATATTTAACTTTTATTTATATGATATAAAATTTTATTTTTATATAACTTTTACTCATATATAAATTTTATTTTTTAGTAATCACTTATATATTTATGTATGTATTTATACACCTTTGTGTACTTTTAAATTGTTCACTTTCTTTTTCTGAATGTAGATTAACTGGCTAACAACAGCAGGTGGAAAATATATATCTGATATGGTACGAAACATTTTGAATGTTTTCATGACTAATGAGTTACAAATGAATTGTTGTCTTTCTGGGAAACGCTCAAATAAATAAATTTTGTAAATTTATTGCAAGTAAGTAAGTTATCTATTCCATTAGAGTTCATCGTTTGTCAAACTTCATACTTATTAATAAAGTTGACTTTAACTCTTAATAAATAAACTATTTTGTATCAACAAAATAATAAATAACAATAAACTGATTTTAGTTGCTGTTCGAAGGCATTGCAAAAATGCTACAGACAAAGATGTAAATGAAGCCATCACCGCTGCACTGCATAACTCAGCAGATCGTGGTGGTAGACGTATGCATCGAGAAAAAAATGAATAAATAAATTTAATGAAAAGTTATTGTATACTTATATGTTTGTAATTGAATTTATAACAAAAAGCAAAAAGAATATTATTTTTCATATATATAAATATATATGATTTGAATGTTGACTTCTTGTATGAGAGTATATATTTTAAAAATATAAAAACATCAATTAATACGAGTTCTCTCAATACTATTGTTAATTTTTTTTTTTTTTTTTTCTTTTTTTTTTTTTAAATATTTTAGTTTACATTTGCTAGTTCGTTTTTACAATATAATGAGAGTAAATAAAAAATTAATAAAAATTATAAAGTAAGCAAATACTACTACATTTGAAAAACTAGGTATCTGAAAGAAAATCAGTAAGATCTTATCGTCAGAATCTTATACTAGTGTAAATAAAATATTTTATTATAAAGTAACTATAAGTACAACAAAATAAAAATAGAATATACATACATATATCACTTTGTAGTATATATAATAAAGTTTAATAAACATTTCCATAATATAAATATTATTGTCAAATTTTGATAATACGGGAGAGAAAAAGATTTTTCAGCTTAACTTTAAAAAGATGCAAAGAAGTAGGTAGATCAAAATTAAAATTAGGCAAAACAATTTTGTTCCAAAGATGGGGTGCAACTTGTTCGACAAAAAGGCTCATATAGAAGGTTGTTATTTCTTAGAGAGTATTTATTGGTAGGTTTCAAAGTAATTAAATCATTAAAAACGGCAGGAGAAAGATTGTTTTTACATATATATACAAAGCATAAAATATTAAAAATATTAAGTTCGTAAATATTAAGTATTCTTATTTCAGAAAAAAGATGTTTAGAGTGAGAAAAACAATCAGCAAAATTAATTACACGTATTGCATATTTCTGACGGCGATAGAGAGATTGTAACTTACTTTTTTCAGTGTTTGCCCAAGCAATGTTTGCATAATTCATATAGCAATGAATGAATGGATAATAAAGTTGGGATAAAACTTTTTTATTTATATAAATTCTGGCCTTATAAAGAATTCCAATATTTTTTGAAACTTTAGTACCAACATAATCAATATGTTGCTTCCATGTGATGTTCTCATCAAGGAATACGCCTAAAAATTTTGTCGTGCATAATCTCTTTTTATTTCAATATGGTCAATAGAAATATCAGGTAGAGTTGGGGGTAAACAACGTTTTTTAGTTATCGAATGAAAAAGAATCCTTTTTGTTTTTTTAATATTTAGGGTAAGTTTATTGCATTTGAACTAGCTAGAAATTATTTTGAGTTCTTCATTCATAGTAGTGAAGAGTTTATTAATATTGTTATCAGATAAAAATAATTTAGTATCAGATAAAAATAAATTAGTATTGCAAACATAATACTTAAAAGATAAGAAGCTTTATGCAAGCCATTAATGTATATTAAAAAAAGAAGTGGCCGTAAAATTGATCCTTGCGGAAACACCACATGAAATATCTAAAACAATTTTTTTGATAAGGATCGTTAAAAGAAGCGAATTGTTTTCGGTTTGTTAAATAACTTTTAAACCACTTCAAAATTACACCATCCACTCCATAATATTTAAGTTTATGAATCAAAATGCCGTGATTTACTGTATCAAATGCTTTTGATAAATCCAAAAAAATACCTAAAGTGAATTGTGAATTTTTGAAAGAGTTGGAGATTTCACGGACAAATTGAATCAGTAGAACTATTTCTTTTAAAGCCAAACTGATTTTTATAAAAAAAAATTCTTCTCCTTAAAATAAGTATATAATCTATTGTAAATAATTTTTTCTAAGATTTTTGAAAATGTTGATAAAATAGAAATAAGTCGGTAGTTACATATATTAGTTCTGCCTCCTTCTTTGTATATTGGGATTATCTCAGCTATTTTTAACTTATCAGGAAAAACTCCTTGTAGTATTGACGCTCTGAAAACTTTAAAGAAAATATCTTTTAATTGTTCAAAGCATTCTAAGACTATGTTTCCATTTATTTCATCAGCTCCAGGGCTTTGTTTTTTTTAATAGATTTAAACGACACTTCAAACTCCTCAAATGATAGCTCAGAAGATAAATTATTTGAACAAATGCAATCATCCATCGGTGTTAAAAAGTTATTGAACACAAATTGGGTATTAGGAATTATATTTGCTAGTTTCGAACCGATATCAATAAAGAATTTGTTAAACTCATGAGCTATTAATCTGGTTCAAAAATATCTTTGTTATCCACTCTAATTACCTGCGGTAGGAAACCTGAGCAAGTTTTTTGTTTTTCACCAATTTCTCTTAATATTTTCCAAGTACGTTTAGAGTTGTTCTTAACATTTTCAATTAATTTTGAGTAGTAATTCTTTTTTAAGTTTTTACGAGTTTTTTCAAATAGATATTTGTAATCTTTGTATATTTTTTCGTTCAAAGGTGTTTTTGTTTTTAAGTAATTTATATATAGCTTTTGTTTGATCTTAGATGATTTTTTAAAACCCTTAGTCATCCAAGGAGCATTTAAGCTTCTTTGATTTATTGTTTTTTCACAGATGCGAAAATTGGCATCATAGACAGAACAAAATGTTTTAAAAAAATTTTCATAAATTTTATTTGCGTCGTCATTAAAACTTATATGCTTCCAATGAAGCAGTGATAATTGTTTTTTAAACTGTTCAATATTGTTTATATTATATATGCGTTTACATATTTTATTATTAGTTTTGGTTTTAATTTTAGAATTTGAGTTGAATGATAGAAATATTGGAAAATGATCAGTTATGTCTGCTTTCAATATACCTTTTTGTATATTGTTATTGAAGACATCAGTTGTAATCATGTTATCAATGAAAGTTGCTGAGTTTGCTGATACTCTAGTTGGACGATTAATTAAAAGAATTGCTCCTATTTCAAATATTAAATCATAAAATTTTTTTATTTTACAGTCATTCTCGTAGTTTAAAAAATTCATGTTTAGATCGCCAATAATAAATTTTTTTTTTTTTCTTTAATGCCTATTTTGATAACATTTTGCTAAAAAAACGTGCTCAGATTCTCACTCAGACCGTCAGGTGGTCGATAACAGCAGTTTAGTTATACATTTTTAGATTCATTGTTTAAGATTTCAATAGTTAAAATTTCTTTATCGCCGTCAGAAACACTAAAATCATTCTTAACGTAATGCGCAATGGTTTCTTTCACGTAAATAAGAACTCCGCCACCGCGTTTATTTGTATGTCTCTCTTGGGATATTAACTCAAAACGGGGAAGATAAAAGTTTGCGTTATTACTTAAATCGTTTGCGTTTATCCAAGTTTCAGTTAAACAAATAATATTTAAAAATTTTTTAGTTTCTTCTAATAAGTAAAGGAGCTTTTCAAAGTTGTGACTTATGCTTCTAATATTTACGTGAAGGATTTTAATTTGTTCGCTATTATTGAAATTAAAAAGAGATCTTTCTATTTCACTAGGATAATAGTAAAAGTAATCATTATTTAAATCATGAGAATAATTAGGGTCTTTTTCTACATTTATATCTATTAAAGATTTCATTTTTGAAAAATTAAAAGCTTGATGCTTAAAATTGCTAATTTCAGCCATTCCAGTGAGAGTTAGAATCTCCTTTCATTTCCGCGACTACATTATTTTAATTATGCTTATCTTCAACAAAAATTTTATCAAATTTGATTACTGCATACTTACCTTCTTTACGATGTCTTTTTTCCCACAATTTTTTACGATGTTCTAAGGTTTCTTTTGCATAATCTTCATTGATAAAAATTTCAGTGCCCTTAAGTTTTTTCACAAATGTTAAAATTTTGCATTTATCGTTATAATTTAGGAGTTTAAGGACTATAGTTCTTGGTAGCTTGTCTTTAACTCTTCC